GAGGGCCCGAGCAGGCTGCTGCAGTCCAGAAAAGCCGCCGTGCACAGGGCACGCAGGCTCTCCTACATGGAGGCTGCTCGGAAGGAGCTATTCCTGAATCAGGGAGCGTGAGCAGGGCATAAAACCCACCGCGGCCCAGCCAGAGGGCCAAGAGCTTCTGCTCTCAAGCTCTCGCTGTGCCTGTTCCCCAGGGGTCTCGGGTGAGGATGAGCATGAGGTGGGCAGCACAACAGGCGCCCGCCCGCCACGCATTTCCTGGAGGACTGGATCCGCATGCGCAGGCGAAATGTGCCCTTCCCTCACCTGTTCTTGATGGCAGTGGCGCCTGGCACCACTGCCGTCACACTGCCAGCAAGCAAAGGCAAAACAAAAAGAAAAGAAAGGGGTAGGGAAGAAGGTGCTTCATGTAACCTACACGCCTCCACCATTGGGAGGGGTCCCGAGAACTGTCCACTCCACGAGGTAAGAAAGGGGTGACACAGCCCCGAACTATTTATATGGGGCTTTTGCAGCAACACAGAGAAGTCCACCCAAGCTGGGGCAGAGCACTGCATTTGCTCAAGGCTGAATTGGCTCATAACTGGCAAGAACATGCAGTGTTTTCCCCAACACAGCTTGTTTTCTGCTACCTCGTCAATGGGCCATTTAGGGAGTAAAACAGGGACTTGTTCCAGTGCTTCTCTGCCTACGTGCTGGAACAAGTGCACAGCTGGAACAGCACCGTGTCTGGACATCTGGCTACTCCTTCCCACCATGAGGAAGTTCTACTTGGGCACAAGACAAGAAAGTCCAGGGCTTCGGCAGATGTTGCTAAAACATCTGCCTCTGCCCAGCTTCCCCTTCCACAAGCGGAGGGCCGCTGCTTCCCTACGGGGCCCCTGACGTCTCTCAGGAACCCCCTGAAAACGAAAGAGGAGTCTTTGGGGTTTTGTTTTGTTTGATAGATGTCACCTCAGCCTAGGAAAGCCCATTCCCGTGGGCTGGCTGCATTGGTCCTGTTGACGGACTGTGCTGCTGAGCTGCACTGGAACACGCAGAAACACATGGCTGGTCTGAGGGTCCTCACAGGACAATGGAGGACACAAGTGGAAGGAGAAAAGTCCCCTCTGCCTGCAGGAATCCAGGCCTCAAGGGGAAATCCAACAAGCCAGAAATGCCTGGGTTTTTATTCCAATGACTATCATGGACTTTTCTCTGTGATAAGTTTGCAGAAGCCAAGTCCTTCTCTCTCCTGGATAAGAAATTAAAGTATTTCAAGATTATTTCAATGGGTATATCACCCATGCACTAAGCCTTACTTTAGAGAGTACTGACTCCTTTTTAACAGGCACACATAAGCAGGCAGCACTAGTTCTGATCTGAGCTGTTTTGCTATTGAAAGCTCAGGTGCACAATCCCCTTTGGGATTAGCAGGGATCAGCAGAGCAGGATGTGTCAGCAAAGGCCCCCAGGGTCGCTGCTCATGCGACTGACCCCTGCAGCTGGCACCGCCGCCTTCCCACAGCCAGCGTCACCCACCAAGCGTGTCCACCCCTCTCTCAAGCACAAGCTCCTCATTCCCTCTTGCTTTTGCTCCTCTTTGCTTGCCACTCCAACACAGAGAATTTCTCGCATTTGGTTGAATTTATCAACTCTAGTGCAGCCATTTAAGGAATGACCAAAACAATCACAAAAACAAAGGGAAGAATCTCCTCTGGCACAGACTGCGCCAACCCAGGTGCTAAATGATGAAAATGGGATGCATATCCCTAATACTATCTCTGTTTTGGGTATATTCGCAGACTTGATAAGAGCTGGAAAAACTGTTAAAGCAAAGCTGTTTTTGAATCCACTGAAACAAGTTGAATCTGGCACCGATACACAACGTCTGCGTTTTTTAACACACTACATACACAAGGGGCCAGTATTACTAGAGAGGCCTCTTTATAAAGCCCTTTAAATGGAAAGAAAACTAAAAGAAACTAGCTCTTAGAAGACACAAAGAAATAAGTTGTGTGTATCTGCACCAGGTTTTATGTCCATCAGGATATGGGAGCTAGTATTGCTGGCTTGATGAACCCTGTTTAAGCAATATTTTGAAAAGCCCGTCCCTACCTCAACACTTCTGCTCTCTTGACAAAACATTATTGTGCTAGACTTGGGACAGCCAGATACTATTTTTCTGGTTATTTGCTACTCTGGACTCCGCTTTGTACATAAAAAAGGTGCATGGTTAAGTAGCAGTGGTTGGACCTTAGTACAGAGCTGAAACCCTGGCACTGCTGTGCAGCAACGCGGCGGCTGTAGCGAGTGACCGCAGACAGGTGAGAAGGCCGGGCCGGAGCATGGGCAGCGACTGAGCAGCCTGTTCCCAATCAAGTGCCTGAACCTCCAACCTACGGAGCAAGTTCTGGACACAGCAGCAGCCACACGAACTTCAGGACCATTTCTTTTTGCAAGAGGGAAACACATGTAGCACACTAAAGTGGATTATAGCTTCGCCCTTTGAATGGCCTCGAGATCTCTCTTTTGCTGTGTCATCACCGCCAGAAAAGCAGTTTCTGAACTTGGACTGCTTACTCATGAAAGCAAACATTTTGCAAAAAGAGTGTCCTATCTAACAGCCTGTCCTGGCTTAGGTGGCTGCATTACCTGCCACATGGCTTTATGAGTTCTTTAAAAATCTGGATTTTATTGGGATGGGTAGTGGAAGATGGGATCCACACTAAGAAATTCTCTTGTCAAGTGAATTTGCAAGGGCAAGTGTAGCACTGGCATACGAAGCGAAAGAGATTAACAATCTCATACAGGATATAATCCTAAAATTGCAACTCTGATGAAATTCCCACTGCCTGCTGTGAGAAACTACAAGAATCCAAGAAACTACAAAGGATCGGCTCTAATGTCAGCAAAACAGCTGCAAAACAGCAGAAACCCAAAGCTGTAAGCTGTCCAACACTGAGCCTGATTGCAAGGATTTTTGTTTTTGAACTAGGAATATTAGGTCCTATCCCAACTCAGCAACACAGTGTCTGCTAACAGATGGATTAAAAATGTTGACATCAGTATCTTGTTTTTTTTTTTTTTCCCTTCTTCTCCTGGCATTGTTTATATGAAGGACTTAGCCCAGTATGTTTTTCCCTCACATGAACTCTTGGAAGGTGCTGGGTGAAAAGAGACTTTTCTCTTAGCCCAATTCATTCCTAAAGACCACTGCACTTGGGAAAAGAGAACTCCTCAGAAAGACACAAAAAGGACACTAACTTAAACAGTATTTTTCAGAGGTCTTAAAATAATTTTCCATTCTTTTACCTTGTAGTTCTTCAATCATTTTTATTACTTTTATCTGTTCTTTCCTCCTCACTCCTGTTGTTGAGCAACAGATATACATAAAAGGGAAACAGAGAACATGACTACTTGCAAGATGCTGCCAAGTGTACGAAAGGAACACACCAAATTTTGAAACACCAACTTTGCTTTTCTCCAAAATTCGAAGCACATCAACTGCACAGGCTGCATCTCTTACTTGCTGGTACCACTGCTTTTTTTCTACAGAGAACACCCTAATTCTTGGAGCTGGCTGTGTCCATGCTGGGCAGAGCAAACCCCATGATTAGAGGCTAGCATAAGCACCTCAAAACACAGGCTACTGTTTGACAGACCAACCCGCAGACACTTTCCCGCCTGCTTCCTGGACACTTCCATGCCGGAGTTTCTCCTCACTCAGTTTCTCTTACACTAAGCCCTGCTGCCTCGGGCGAGAGTCACAGCCCTCTGCAAACAGGAGCAATGGGCATGATACAACATGGATGGCACCCGAGCAGCGCTGCCTTGCCCTGGGCTGCCCGGGCCCACTAACGTGTGACTGACCCAGGGTGAACGCCATGTGCTCCTGAGCCACCTCCGCCACGTCCCACGGTGCCTGGGGTTTCCTTTGGGAGGCTCCAAAGTGAGCTCGCGTGAGAAACCTAGCACAACGCAGTGTGGCTACAGGCCAGCAGTGAGCTCCTAAAGGTTTCTGACAGAAATGAGAGGGAGAGATGGAGAAAAAAGTTGTTCAGTGCTGAACAAAATCATGCGCCGAAAGGAGGCAAGAGCAAACTCAGGAGGAAGCAACTGCAACTACACAGTGGGGTAGTGAGTGCACTAAGTGAGCTCCCAACAACACTTTTCTGTGTGCTAATGCCTTTCACGTTGGGGAAACCACCCCCTCTGCAAGCTCCACAGAGGCTACACCTACTGATACAGTCATTTCTTTCTTTCCAAGACACCACAACTCCCTCAAGCTTAAAAAGTCGGAGTTTACACCTCAGGGGCTGAACCAATTCACAAGGATCACTTGTGAATCGGGCATTTTATTTTATTTTATTTTAAATGGAAGCCTGAGCGAGAAGGTCAAAGGTGACATCAGAAGGTGAACTCCGAACGACCAAGGCAATGATTTACACGAGCACAGCCCAGGTGGCCGCCACTAACCTAGCAAGTGCGTGGGGAGGCCAGGATAAACCCTTCCTTCCTTGCTTCCTGCTCACCCTAAGGGTCTCCGTGGCTCAGGGGCTGGTTAGAGAGGGCACGTGACCAGAGAGGGAATGAGGGAGAAGATGGAGGGAGGGAGAAGGAGGCGGCAGGCGGGGGCACGTTCTCACCTGAGGCTGCTGTAGCGTTTGTAGGGGTGGAAGCGGCAGCTTGATTCCGGGCATGAGCAGGGATGAGGATCGAAGCCAGAGATGGGTTACTTGACAGTTCTGGAGGGGAGGGGGAACAAACAGAGTTATTAGCTCATCGTTCATGGAGAAGCCCGCGCGCACGTTTCACCCCCAGCCTTGCTCGGTCACCGCAGCCTCAGATGACACGCACGGCCGCAGGCCGCAATACCTTTTCTTGTGTGCCTAGGAGCACGAGGAAACCGCAGGGGCATCTGGCAAGGAAGCGGCCAGAGCAAGACTGTCAAAACTACGGGTAGCGATACAGACGAATTATTTCCCAGGGAGGAAAGCAGCTTGAGAGCTGGCAAAGAACTGACTGAGCCTGTTCCTTGGAAACAGCTTTGAAAAAAAATGCCATTTCCTTCACAAACCTTCTGGTCAGCCTAAAGGAGAAGGGAGCTGCCACAGCAGCTCCAAGAGCTCCAGGGACGCAGCTCTGTGGCTGCCTCAAGCTGTCCTTTCCATGGCCCCAGGAGTGAAGCCAGACCTTGGGCCCTCTCCTGGAAGCCAGGAAGAGGTGGCATCTCCTTTAAAAGCACAGGAAAAGGCAAAGGGAGATGAGCTGCTTTGCTGTCTAATTTAGCCCGACAACAAAGTAACACAACCGTTTTTTTCTGAAGAGGTTAGCCAAGAAAAAGAAAGTCCTGTCTTTCAGGCTCCGAATACTGCAAATACAGCGTGTAGCAGAACGAGAAGCGGGCACCTCCAGTACGCACGCAGCAGGATGAGGAGCTTGGCGTGCAACGGGGCAGGGCTGGCCAGGGTCCTGGCTCTCTCGGGGCAGCTGGTGCCCCCCAGGAGGTGAGATAGAGCCGTGACAGGGCCACTCCTGCTCGCTGGGAACATCCTGTGGAAAGGATGCGACTGGCCCGTGTGGGGAAGGGGGGACTGACAGCGTGAGAGACTTCCAAGGTCGCCTGCAGGAGGCACGAAAGCAGACACGTCGCAGCGCGAGACCTCCAGGTAAAATGTGCTGCACAGAAACCAATCCAAGCCATGTCAGCGCAGGAAGGTTGTTTACACACAGTCTGATTTCATGAATTCATTTTAAAAAGCCTACTGCTTTTCTTCAACACAAGCTTTAAATTCAGGACCTGCAAGCATCAGTTGCCTGTTTGGTGATTTTTTTTTCCTCCTTCAAGTTAGCATTAGATGTATCGAGAAGAACTGCTGGGAAGGCAAGGTGGGGAAGGCTCTCACTTGTTTACGAGTCCCTTATTAATATGTATTTTGAGGCTGTACTTCTGCACTTATGACTACAAGTCCCAGTCAAAAGCGAAGTTAGTACCTTAGCAACAGCCTATCGGACCACTTGTGTAACACTGCGTTCACATTTAACCACACTTAGTCCTTCCAGAAAACTTCCACACGCAAGGCATTTGTACAAATATTAGCCCTCAAATCCGTAACAAAACCAAACACACTCAATTTTACAGAAAAATACCCTGAAGAAGTATGTCCCCTCCAAAGCCAGTGCTGAGCAGCAACGATACACCTGTAATTTAGTGCTGGTTCTGTCTTGGCTATCAGCTGCTCTGTACCAGAAAATGTTGCTCCTTTAGTATTTTCTCCAAAGCTGTTTCAAAGCTACTGGGGAAAACCTGCTGCTTACCTCATTTTGTCCTATAGTTTACTACCCACGTGGTAATATGAGACTACTGCCCTCAAAAAAGCAGAGATAGACTGTTGAGGAAAGAAAATAAGGTTTGTTCCCATTGGTGCTATGCTATATAAACTGACTGCACCACTGCAGTCAGATCGCCAGGGTTGGAGAAGCACCTGCTCTGTGAGGACAGCATCATTGCAGTGACACTTGGCATCTGTTTGGATTGCCCCCATGCTTTCATATCATACTGCCAGAATTACCTCCTTTCACAGCACCAGTCTGGCACATACATGGCTTTTTTTTGTTGCTTTTAAGGCAAGCACAAGTTTTTCTCTGAAGCTACCGTAACAAATGTGAACAGGCACTAGAAGGCTGACTTTGTTCGCTTCCCCACAAATCTCACACTTTCTTGCTATGACAGTCCTTAAATTCAGGATGCTCTGAAAGTCTCGGTGATTCCTTTAGAGCAGATAAATTTGGACAAGAAATAACCAAAGCAAACTTAGCTCTTCTGCCTGATGTTTAGTCAGAGCTTTTCTTTAAAACTTGCTTCATTTTTTTGTTCTTCCTGTCTTTGTGGCTATCACACCTGGGAGGATCCCTGTGCCTCAGTATTGAGGAACAGGTCTGACCTCCGGTATCTGCAGCCCACTGGAAGCGTTGACCACCATCCTCTAAATTCATTCCAATTATTTGAACAAACTGCTGAACTGTAGCCTGCTTATCTAAACAAACTTAAAATTCAGGGTTGTGTCAATACAACTGATATTACTTTGGACACAAAATCTTCTTGCCACAGTTTCCAATACTGTGATGAGTGAACACAGCAGCCGTCCCAAGCCCTTTAACAGAAGGGCCCTCCTGTTCACATGGGGAAACGGCTTTGGCTTTCTCCTGTCCCCGGCATGACTTTTGCAGCCAATCTGCAGCTCCAGTAAGGAGCAGGAATCAAACGCTGTGGTTTTCATGGGACATCAGGTTATCTTTATTCCATTCCTCAAAAGCAGGGCAATACTTTATCTTGAGAAATAGTTTGTGGCTTATTTTACTAGTGGGTGCTAGGAGTAGTGAAATATCTAATATAATGATAGCGAAAATAAGTTTCGTATCGTGTTTGCTCTGGCAAAGTAACCAGCTTTCCATGTAACTGAAATTATTCCAGCAGTTTCTCTGCAACCTAAGGGTGTGCTGGAATCAGCACAAATTTCATACTTTTCCTTTCTTGCCCACTCCATTTGCTCTAAGCAGAAATACTGTGCTAAAAAAAAGAAAAAAAAATGCTGGATGGCATTCAAATGGTCACACTAACAACTTCTCTCAGACTGAAAAAGGTTAGAAATGAAAGTATCACAGCTGAAAAAAAATATTAAAATATTTTTTATTGATTAAAAACCTCACCAACTACAAGGTGTTTGTTATCAAGCAGCACAGTATCCAGTTCTAAGTGCTGCATCACAGAAGAGTTTTACGGTCACTAAGGGCTAATGTGGCACAACAGTGACATTTGGGGGTCCAGCACAATTATTGACCTACTATAAGGCATTTAGTAAATGGCAGACATTTCACAGATTGTTTGAAAATTTAGCTTCTAAGAGAAAATTGCTTTCTGCTCAGCTCAGGTCGAAAAGTCAGTGAAATGCAGCACTCTGGCTCCTAGAGATACCTTCTTGGGTGGGGGGGGGGCAGCTTTGTTCAAGCCCCAATCTGCATGTAAAGTTGGTGTAAATACTAATAGAAGTCTACAAGCAAGAAGGAGAATGATCAGGCATCTGTATGCCCCAGGACTACTACTGGCAATCAGTCAAAAACGTTATCTTGCATATATTCTCACTGCTCTTTTCCTAGGCTCCATCTGAACAGCGTCACTGCCCAGATCAGCAGGTTTGGCTTGGCAGGTTATTTTTGAAAATGAGTCTAATATATTAACAATCGGATTTCTGTATTGTTTCTAACAGTTTTGCCTTCCAGCCTTCTGCAGCTTCCTTGCACTCCATGGATTTCAGAACATCGAATACAGCCAAAAAAAACATTATGAAATTTCGTATTGCCTGATAAAAACAAATGCCTTTCAAAACAGAAGGGCACCTTTCAGTACTTTCCAAATCACCAAGATGACGTTATTACCACCTCTGATTTCCAGTGACCTGATCTATTTCCGAATTTCGATTTCTGTGCAGGACTGGCAAACCAGACAGGCCTCTGGGCAACCAGGCTTAAGCGCTCCGGCCAGGGACAGGAAGGTCCTTGCTTATCTTGAGGACATAATCAGGACTGCTGCCCACACAAGCTGCACTCCTACACATCTACCAATCATAAAGGCGTTATAATCATTGAGCTGAGCACTCAATTCTTTTTTGATTGTTGATTTTGAAAGTTCCAGCTTTTTTATTTTTTTGGCGAGTTTGGCTAATCATCTGCAAGAGAGTTCATTTCAAAATGCAACAATGGCCAGCCTCTGCCCTGCTTTCCCTTTTTAGGTACTAAAACTGGCAGCTACTAATAACAGAAACCTTGGATTTCAAGGAGCTTCCTCGTCTGGAACCAATTTGTCTTGCCATTCCCATAACTCAGTGTGCAAGAGGAGAGCACATGACCCCTCCACGTGGGTGTGGGACAACATGTCACTGAGGGTTGGTTAAAAGATGACAAATCAGAAGCTACGAATTTACCTCAGGATCAGGGTAGCTTATCCTGTAGCCTGCACTGCCTTGACAAATTCCCAATAAATATGCATCTATTTTCATCTATAAAGTTTTAAAAGCTTTCATGTAGAAGATGGGCCTTACGCTAACATAATTAAAAATTACTAAAACTAAATACATTTAAAAAGAACAGGGAATGAGGGAAATATTAACATATTGGGCTCAAAACCATCTTCATTATTGGACATGGCCTTAGTGTGGGGAAAAAAGGGCGATTCCTGAGCATTATAACTGATTATTATATAATATAGTAGGACATTTAATATAACACAGGGGAAGTGACCCCAGGCTGTTTTCACAATACTAGCAACACCAGCAAGATGCCAGGAGACCCTGTTTTGCAGGTCTGTTAAAAACCCTAACCTGCTCCCATGCTTGCTCCCCTCAAATGGGAGAAGGCCCCATGCGCCTTACTAAAACTACCTTCAGGGGGGAGAAAAAAAAAGAAAAAAAAAAGAGTTTTTCAGGGTATACACATCCTGGAAATGTTAAAACATATATTAATGAATACTTGCTTCCTTCAAGACAGTGATTCAAAATAAGCTAAAAGTTTGTGCTTGGGCAGTTTAAATACTATTTTATATAGAAGCAGCTTAGTTGCAGTTACTTTTATAGCTACTATTATTAAAGAAAAGGGTCCCATATGTTCAAGTGCAGTGTTGTGTTTCACATCTTGGCAGATGGGCATTGCATGTACTGAAGTCTGAAAAATGAGATTGAAGCTAACTGAACGAAAAGTTGTTTTAGACTTTCAACAGCAAATGCACATGTATCCTCACACAAAAGGTGAGAATTAGGAGCTAATCACTTTTAAAAAATGCTGTAAAACTAATTACTAGCGAATTTGTACACCACACTTCTCGCGTTCTCCATCTTGGCAGGCAAAACTGTACCAGCTTTATACCTCTGCCTTTGCGAAAGAATACAGGAACGGTTTTAAAATTTGGTACTGACTTGGCTTCAGATAAAAAAATATTGTTTGTTCCGTTTCTAAATTACCGAATCAATATAATGCCAGATGAACTGTGCAGCACATAAACCTAAATACCAAGGCTTCTTTAATTTAGCTCACTTTTAGGGACAAAATGGGCAGCAACACTGCAAACTTCTCTGCCAACCTGGCACGCACTACACCTCGCTATAGTGTTTCAGCCATGAAGGTGCAGAGACATCTTTAAAATGACAAGCTAATCCCCACGATTCGCTGCCTGTGGGATTTCACACAAAGCCAACAACTGGCTTGCTTGCACACACTAAACTGCAACGCAAACTCGTGCAATCAGGCAGTAGCACACTTCAGCCACCCAGACTAAATTCAAATCAAAGGCACTGCCTATCTGAAAATCCCATGGCTCACTGCTCCAAGTTCCTTTTTGAGCTGGACGGCTGCTTTCACAAATGTGCAATATCCTCAGACCTGCTTAGAGATTTTTACTTTCGAGGGAGTGACATCTGCATTACAGGGATCACTCATCGTCCCAGCGCTTCATCCCAAAGGAGGAATCCTCAGCGCCCACAGACTACCTTGAGTGGTGAAATTGAAGAGTGCAGGTTTCTGGTAACTTGAGGTGTGGTGCCCGTAGTTCATCGAAGAAAGAGGGTGCGCACGCCTCCAGCGGGGTCAGGCGGGCCGTGGGGGTGTACTCCAGCAGACGGCTACATAGCGCAATCGCTTCTGGCGGAGTGCGGGGCCGGAAGACCTGGAAAACAAGCAAGGGGAAACAGGCTGTCTGGCTTCGTTTCTATTCTTCGACGATCAGAAGCAAGTCAGAGCAATTAAACCTCTCACTGCCCAGCAAGTTGGAATAACCCGATGTTTGTAATCAAAGGTCTCCAGTGAGGATGGGAAAATCCAGCTTGAGAAAGGGTTAATTGCAAAGTCTTGCACTCGGGTGAAGGTGCAATGCCAGCAAGAAGACTTCATGAGAGTGCACTCAGAAAAACAAGTTAAAGAACAAAGTGGGGAGAAACTCATTCAAAAACCATGACAAACACGCAGGTGCTATCAGCCATGCATATGGGGTGGAGTGATGTGGCAGGGAGTAAGGTTCAAATGGGCAGGATTCACTGGATATAGAAATTGCATTGGGCCTGCTATATCTGTATGCATGTTTTTAATAGTGGCTGAAGCCTTACTAACACTGACTTCTGCAGGCAGGCAGGTCAGATTGTTGCTATGGAGGCTGCTGCTCAACTTTGGAGAACAACAAGGAAAGCAAGGGTGGGGTGCAGGAAATGTCTGGCTCTAATTTGCAAGTTACTCCTTCCTTGACCTTATTCTGGCAAGTCATTCCCATAAATTTATTGGGATAGCTCCTGCACATTTGGTATTTGTAAGGACAGCTGAAAGATGTGTCAAGAGAACCAACTGTTTCCTCCTAACCATTTTTTTTTCCTTATGTGATTACCAAATGGGAGTTCACAGCACTTCTTCACCAAAGCTGCATTTCAAACCCCCACGAATAGCTCTACACACCCCAAATCACACCCCCGACCTTCCTCAATACGTCAGAAGCTAAATGCAAGTTAATCATGTACATGACCTAGGTGACCTCTTCAAGCACTGCACTCTCCTTCTGTTACGGGTAAAATACAGGCTGGGGAAGACAGAGTGAGGTGAGGGAGAGTGTTAAATTTCTATGTGAGCACTTTTGATTAAAAAAAAAAAGAGCTAATCCAAAATGCTTCTGGCACCAGTGCAGGTGAGCCCAAACCACACAGCACCAAGGAACAAAATTAGTGCACGACATACTAACTAATTGCAGACCAGGCACCAGCACAGGCACTGTGTAAGTAGCTATTAAACCAAAAGACACGTAGGCTCTCATGAAAGAGATTAAACAACAAGGCTACTTTGTCTAGAAACTGCCATTTTCTCCCCTTGGTGCCCGGCTGCCTCTAAGGCAGCCTGCGCTAACTTGTGTGGCAGCCAACACCGGACTCCTGGAGTTGACAAGGGAAGGGCCGAAGGAGCAGCGCTCACTTCTCACAGCAGCTTGTTGGAAAACGAAACCAAGGGAAAGGTTTATCACAGAAGGTGACCGTGCTGGCTGAGAAGTGGGGCCGCCGGTCCGTGCCAGCGTTCCTCCACACGGAGAGGTGGCCTAGGCCGCTCTTTGCTGCCGCGACTTGTCTCCTCCAGAGTGTGGACTAACGGCCCTGGTCACAGCCTGGCCGCAACAAAATGAAGGACTATCTCCAATTAGAAAACAAACGAACAAAAACCTCAAAGAATAATAAAAAATATCAAAATTTTTACCTCTTGGTAACTAGCGCAACCAAAAGCACAGTTTGGGGTAAAAACACAGAAGCTCTAACACTTGCTTTTTACTCTGAGGTAAAGCTACTGAGGTGTTTCCCTTATACCTTTTCTTCACTGGTGATTGAACAGGCTTGATTTACTAAAGCGTGAAATGAAAATGCTTTACTCTTAGGGGTGGTTTTTCCCCCCGCTCAGGGCAGTTCACATTTCAATCACTATGCAGATTTTAAAAAAAGAAAAAAACAATCAAACAGGAAAACCCTAAAAACCACCCCAAAAACCTTCCCACAAATTCAAAAACAAAAATCCTGACACATCTTCACCCCCGCCCCCCGCATGAGTGGTGATTAAAACACGAAGTGAGTTACAGATCTAAACCTGGCTAATCTTTATCGCCTTGTGTTAAATCATTCACCTGGCCGCTGCCTCAAGGATGCAATCTCAACTCTGACTTTCCACTCCTGGCATTTCTCTCTCCTTTTTTTATTTTTTCCTCAAGGCTAGGCCTAATAGTTTGAAAAAACGTTTAAGTACATACCCGTACTCCTGAGGTGAAATGTCCTGTTCCTGACGAGTCCTAAAGATGATAATGCAGTGAAATAATCCAAAGAGGGGGAGTCAATCCAAAAGAGAATAGTCCAGCAAGGAAAAATATATCCAGTATTATAAGAAATCCATGGTGTGGGGGACACAGAAAATGTTTATACAATTAGAAACTTTAAACATCAGTCTCCATAGCAGCAAGTCCAACTTCACCACAGTGTATGCCAAAAAATTGATTGTGCAATGGTGAGGCATAGTATAGAAACATTTCTATATTAAATTTATGTTCCAATGCCAGTGCATTTACTAAAAAAAATAATAAAAAAAATTGAAATCAAAACTCTAACTCGAACTAAAAGGGTAAGTGAAATCCCCCATCATAAAGAATTTTCAGTCCTTGGTCATGGATATAAATGGTGCCAAATCAGTTTGTCTCCATAGGTGCATCCCACTTGTCAACCTTTCCCAGAGACACAATGTAAACTTTTTTTTTTCTGGAAAAAAATGAAATCCCTAACAATTTATAATTTGTGCTGAAAAGAAAATAAAAATCCATATTTTGAATTTGGGTTTTTTTTTTTTTTTAATTTGCGTGAGCTACGAGTGCCTCAGGCCGCCGCGGATTATTCTCCATTCTGGATTGACTTCCCCACCAATGGATTGTGCTGGCTGACGTGATCTCTTTAGGATGCTTCAGGAACTGGACAGACCACCTCAGGAGTGCGGGTATGGCCTTAATTGCTCTCCAGCGTTTTTTCCCCCTCATACCGTCGCACCCTTGACTTTTCTTTTTTTTTCCTCCTTTCTCTCAATCTGCCTCCCCTCCCTCTGCCCCGCTTTTGAGTAACACACTAAAAAAAATAAAAAAAAAAATAAAGAAAGAAAGAAACGAAAGAGAAAACCCTGTGCCTTTTGGCTCTCCTACTTCAACACAGTCCCACCAGAAATCCTGCCCAATTCGCCCACCGAGAACTACACAGGAGGCCGCAGCACCAGGAGCTGCCGCTGGCCCCGCAGCGAAGGAGACCTGCCGCTGGCGCGTGAGGACGGACGGCAGGACTTGCCCTGGGCTGCGAAGGCCTCTCTGTCCCTCCGTCCGGGCGAGGCTCCCGTCCGCCGTGTAGTTCTCAGTGAGGGAATTGCTATTTAGTCAATAATCCGCGGATTCTTTTTAGTCTGCGGACTAAAATGTAGTGCACGGACTAAAATCCGGCCCATCGGAGCGAAGTCTACCTCAGTCTAAAATACACCTGGGTGAAAGCAAAAAGGAAAATAAAAAGGAAAGAAAAAAAAAGGGGGGGGTGGAAATTAAAAAAGCTAAGTGCACAAAGTAAAGTGTTTGGGCGGACTAACGTTTAGTATGCAGACTAAATATGGCCGGGCAAAATGCACAGCAAGTCCACAAACAAAAACAAAAATAAAACACTGACAGGAACTTTTAAAGCAATCAAGTACCACCCCACCTGCGCAGCAATTCATTTTTCTAAAATGAAACAAGACCTTTTTGTAAGGGCTATTGGCCCGCACGAGGGACTGAAGGTTCAAGTTTTCATTTTAAAAAATGAACCTGTTTTGGAGATAAACAAATGCAAAATAAAAGCCTTTACACCAAATACTCTTCAAGGAAAATTTGCACTTGAATAACTCAAAACCTCTTGTTTCTGCAAAGCAAAGGGATTTCGGGCAGAGACCCAGGCTGCAGGTTTTTTGGATGAGTGTCAAAAATCTCTGAGTGATCACGTAAAATGGAAATACCGACTCATCCAAAACTATAACTTTTTTTTTTTTTTTAATTATTAACTCCTCCTCCTCCCCCCATATCCCAGTGAATCTGTATCGCACTGCCAAGCTGAGCGAGGGTGCAAGTCCTTCCTGTGTTCAGGCATATCAGAGATGCTGCCTCTCTCCTCATTTTCTAAGCTATGCTGCTATCAGTGTGGCTTTTTTAATGCGAGTCCCTCCTCATTATTCAGGAGCTACCACCATCTTCAATATGTTTTCAGAATAATTGCCAAGTTTAGACACCTCTGCTATGCCACTCTTCCCATCTCCAAACGACCTAAATTCAGATGAAGTCTTGGTACACAAGCAGAGCATTTGCCTTTTATCTTCCTAAGTTACAATAGTTACTATTGGCCTTTTCTGAATTTGAACATATTTCTGCATTGTAAGATAAAGGATGGAAAGCCCAACCTGCTCCTCTTTTGTTGTGCTCACATCAGCATTCAGGTCCCAAACAAGACCATGCCGGGTAAGTGCCGGGCACTGTTTTAGCAAAAAATGCCTGGACTGACTTTCATCCGTGGCCATTCTCAGACCAGACTTTTCAAGCTCAACACCGAGCTCCGTCTCCTTGGCCTAATTGAGCACCACAGCCAAAGCTGCCCAGCACTGCGCCAAGGTGCTCTTCTCACTGGCGCATGTTGAAGGACACGATGTCGCGCTCCCCGCTGTGGTGCGCCTCGCGTGCCTCCTGCAGATGCTGCGCTCCGCAAGAGAGCAGGGGCTTCGTAAAATGACATCTGTTGCTAACACATCAAGTTTATGACACCGCAGTTAAAAATTTCCTCACCAGCCTCAGAGACTCGTATTTTGCCAAGAACCACCCACACCGCCGATTCAGGCTGACAGTCTGGGCACATCTCTCTTTAGTTTGTAAGCACATTTTTGACGGCATATGCCCCAGACTGGGAAGGAAGGTGATCAACTCTTTTTGGAAATATTTCAATATTAGGTAACGGAGAAAGCTCCTCCCTTCAATCAAAAGCTGGCCCTGCTTCCCGATGATCAAAGCTATCAGACAGCGGACATGACCCTTAAATCTCTCTCTCTCTCTCTCTTTTTTTTTTTTTTTTAAATACAATCACACAATACAATTATGGTCACTTTAGGACATGAAGCAATATTTCAATTGCACAAGTTTAACATACTATGAGTCGGTGGAAAAAAGAGAAAACAACAAAAAAAAAAAAAAAAAAAAAAAAAAAAGAAAGAAAAGGAAGAGACACACATGCAAGACAGCAATGCTAGTACTGAGCTTCACCTAACACAAGGCAATGTGAAGCTAAGGCAGAGGCTCTGCCCTTGGAATAAATCTTGTTTCGAGAGTTTGAGAACTTCAAAGCAGGTTTTCTGAAGTACTTTGCTATTCTGAAGCACAAAAAGCTTACTGCTATTGGGAGTAATTTTATATAACCCCCCCCCCTCTCCCAACTTACTTCTCTGATTAAATCTACCTCCCTCCTGTTTTTCTAAAAAGCATCACAGAAATAGCAAATGCTTTGCCGGTCCTAAAAATCCCTGGCAGGTGGCATTTACACAGACAGGGAAAATGAAATAAAGACAGAAGGGTTAAGTGGCTCACAAATGAGCCAACACTGAGCTGGGAACAGAACCAGAAACCTGTCTCCAAAGCTATGTCTTGTTGAGACCACACACTTGTTACTGAGCTACTACCATTGAGGACTTGGTGAAACTAGAATGAGCTAAAATTTGTTACCCTGTGCATGCCCTGCATCTCTGAAGCGCTGAAAGAAGGCAACAAAGCTAAGCAGAACTAAGCAAATTCTTCTCGGAGAGTACCCACCCAGGCATATCTACAATATCTACCTCTGTAAATTACCTAAGCCTTGACAGGACAACCACTCTCAACAACAGCTTGGACAGATGTGTTGCAATGCCCTGACAAAACAGACGGCACGTTGCGGAAGACATGTCAAGGTTATCGCATGATTTCTGTAACTGCATTGATGCAAGCCCTATCTCAATATTCCGGGAATGCTAGCGCAGTTGTTGGTAAGCAGCACTTTCTTTGCTGCATTCAAATTGAGCAGAGGCAGGTAATTCATTACCTGGAAAACGTGGGTTCTGTTCTCATGAGCTAGCCGGAGATAAGAGATTTACTCTGCCAGAAATCACTGGGCTTAGAAAAGGAGCTGGGAAACTTGAACTTGCCAAATTTTTCTGTTGTTGTTGAAGTCGGTCTCCAGCAGAGCTGTTTTCATTCTTTGTTTGAAAAGCCATTACACACCCACTGAAAAACAGGACGATCGCGCTCCCAGGAGCGACGTGGGCGCGCGGCTCCGCAAGCTACACGGGTCCCTGCGCCAGGGTGCTCAGTCGACCCTGCTCCCAGCCACGCGGCTCCGTCTGTTCCCGTGCCCAAGCACTTGCACTCACTGCTGAGCGGCCATGCCAGATAAGAAAGCTGATGCAGGCCCTGAATGCTGGTGTTGGTCTGGACAGAAAGATTTTTGCAACAATGCAAACATCAGCGCACAGGGGAGGAAACACGCAGCCAGGAGCAGGAGGGCAGGCCTGCTTCCTGATTAATTTAAGCCAATTATGAAACTGCACCCAAAGATCTCTCCAGTCTCTGCTGTACCTTGGCATTCCTATAAAAAGTCAGGACCCAGTCTCAGAAAAAAGAGTTTTTGTTTTTAACTTTAATTCTAAGGTGAGTATATTTATTTCTGTTGAAAGAATGTTAATTTTCTTTTGTCATCAGCTATAATTACAAGTGACAAAATGAGCTGTCCATTTATCTATTTTATTGTTTGGTATTCTTCCTCAAATCTATAGTATGAGCAGGCACTTGGAGGCATTACAAGCAAAACCATCTGCCTAAAACCCAGACAAGAACCAGGAGGACAGAGGTAGCACACAAGACATGAAAGTGTGTCTGGAGGGAGCAAAAAATGCCTATGAGAGAGACCAGACCCCAGGTACCAATCCCAGAGTGAGGAAGACACAAGATTAGCTGCTATGACTGGAAAAAATAAAACAATCAAGGTCCAGCCATCAGTATGGTAAAATGTATACAAAACGTACACATACATACACAAGAGATATTTCGATGAAGTATTTACCAAATATTTTATAAAAATTCTCCACTTTATTTCTTGAAAAAAACTCAAAGACAAAATCCAAAGCTACTTGTAATACATGACTGTGGTTCCCCACAACCCTCAACCTGTAACCAGGACGGGTCAATTACTTTGGAGCAGTTCCCGAAGGGATATGAGCTAGAGCCTGAAATTTCATCTTCAACCCTGCTTCCCTCTGCTACAGTAACTGAGCTTGGGGATATGAAGCCCTTCCAACAGCAAAAAAATGTGATAGACAGAAAGCACTTCAGGAAGTTGGAAGGGACCCTCCCCTCTTCTGCTGTGATGTGACAGATGTGAAAGCTCCATGGAGGGAGGAAGCGCCAACAACCTTGGCAGTGTCACCAGGACAGGAGAAGTATGAGGGCCACTAAGCAGTGGGACACTAAAAGACACATGCTGCACAACTCTGGGAGTAGAAATTGATTCCCTGTTTGCACAGTGGAGACAAGGCAGAGACATTAATGACCAACTGGATCAGCCTTGGCTGATGCAACCTGTTGAGATGTTCTGCTGTCATGAACCATGGCCATGCTTGCAGCTCAGCAGGTAAGCCAGCTTATGATAGTGCCCACTTGTGACAAAAAAAAGTGGAAGGGCTGAAAAAATATAGGGTCTAAAAATACATGGTCATCTCAGCCATGTAGAAGGGGCCTAAACTACGTAAATACCTTACATTTACTGGCAAATTACTCAGATGAGAAGCTTCACTAGAAAGGGTGACGGAAGGAGGGAAGTGGGCGAGAACTGGCATGTCATGGGGTGACTGACACCTTTCTGTGCAGACTGTCTGGGAAATAATTGTGCTTGGGTCTTTGTTTTCATAGCCCAAAGGGTTTGAAATATGCAGGCAGTATCTGAGTAATGCCAGGATATTGGTCTGCTGTAAAGGGCCCATGATAAGCAATGCAAAGTTAACAAACCTTACACATTTATACTTTCCCCAGCTAACTGCCCCACTCTCCTCCAAAAGGGCCAATAGTTTAGGAGAAAGCTAATCCCGCAAAGCACGACTTCAACAACCCTATCAAGTACCCCTTGCATTAAATCTCAGATTTTCTTTAGCTTTCTATTCTCGTGATTATAAAATACAGATGAAACTTGTTTGGAAGATGAGAAACAAGTTTAAAGATTAGTAGCAAAGAACTGTTTGCTTTCAACAAGTAAGAAGGCTCAAGGAGTTGAAGTGTCTGAAATACATAGAGCAAAACTCTAATCTTGTAAAAACAGCAGCAAATCCTTTAGAAAAGGTAGCAGCTTTTATTTGACTGGCTGATACAGACGGAAAAAAGAGGGCAGACTTTCAGACACAAGCTAAGTTGGAAGATGAAGTTGCGTGTCCAAAGGTCTGTCCATTTTTTCCAATTGTATGAGCTGTGCCCATAAAAGATATTGCCATCCCTTCCAAACCTTGCTGCCCTTTCAACTTAGTGCTATTTGCAGATCAAGGCAGACAAGCAGTGGGATGCACCTCCGTGAGTACAAACTGGTCTATATTCCGTGAAGACCAAATGAAATCTGGTCAAAAACAGCTCAGTTACTGGATTAAACAGCCCTCTACTATGAAGAGAAATGCCAAAGAAGAATTTAAAAAAATCTCCTAATGGAGAGGCAGTGGGAGCAGGGGGAAGTCCAGTTAAGAAGAAATATTCCCAGAAATTTTAGGTTTTCTTTTCTTTTGATAATGAGCGATGCACTGAATTATAGTCACTATCTGTCATGCACATGACCAGTAGAAACATACACATGTGCTTTGACAACACAAGACTATGCTGAGGGATTGAGGCTGTTCAGTGCAAGTGCACTTTACCCTCAAATTGCCAATGGATTGAAAAAGATCAGTCCACAGTGTAATCTCACATTTTTGCTGCAGCACAAAAATACTTCTAGGGTTATCTTGAATTCTCTCCTAATCTAAGGCAAAAGTGCCTTGTTAATTTGAGATATCTTTTGCCACAGTACTTCATCATATTAAATACCAATACTGTCTACAGATGACATCAAGGCATTTGTTTTGAAAACTCCAAGCTACATGTGTGAAGGCTGGCCACAATTTTTAACAAACTTTGCACTCAGAAACCCAATCAAAACCTCAAACTGAAATCTGAGAAATTATCTACCTGGATGGAGTTACCGTGGTCAATCTGAAGCAATTTCTCCAAAACTGAAAAAAAACCCCCAGAGGCCTACCACAACAGTAATCATTCCTATTCATCTCACAGACAACAGCAACCAGTTCACAATATTACTGGGGTATTCAGAAAGAAACCACCAACGCGTCCCTCTGCAAAATACCCAGAGAGTGCAGGCCAGAAACAGACACTTCCAACAGAAGTCCACACCCAGCATCTCAGATGCAACCCATAGGGACTACAGCTTCCGAGAAGGTCCTCATGTTCAAAAGCTGACAGCAGGTAGTGACTAATATTTGCAACAATGCTTTCTCAAGCATGTTGAGAATTGCCTGCCTGCAAGGTTTTCATGCAAAAAAAAACTACCTTCTAATTGTCTGCTGGGTCCTCTGGTCCACCAAAAAAAACCAACCAACCAACCAAAAACCCACAACCAAGCCTTCTAACTGCTGTAATATCCAGCAATTTATTAGCTTACATGAACAAAAAATTGTGCTTTGGGGCCTGAATCTTGTAGTGTTCAAGTCCTGCAGACAACTACCTGCCACTATCAGTGCTACCTACCCTGGCACTCTAGATGCATACATTGTTACAAAGAAAAACATTGGCACTTTCAAAGTTTGAACCTTTCCTTGCCCACTCCTTACACTGGGCCTCTACAACTGCCCCAGGTTCTAATCATTCTTTTCAGTCCTAAGATACAGAAACTCCAAGATGAAATGCATTCCTATGTCTATGCCATTAGATTTTTTTATCAGTACAGCTGGTTGAGGAAGACTAGTTCTATATATCACTGCCATTTACTTAAATCTTTCACCGCTGGACACCAAAATGTTGAAAGAAAAGAATTTTTAGAAGGAATACCATGGGAGAATGAGCAGTATGACCAAGACCTTACCGGATAATCCAATTTGTTAATTTAGCATTTGAACAGTAAGAAAAGCACAGATCTCATAAGTATAATGTACACCAAATGCAATAACCTTGACCAGATGCTATGCTGCACACAGTCGGTGTGAGGAAGAACTGGCTGCAGACTAGATGCAGAAAAAGCAGCTAGGCTGCAATACCGCTCTCAAAAATCATTGTTATGTCTCCCAACTCCCTGTGGTTGACTTGGTTCACTTGTAATCTATGGAATGGGGAGCAAAAGCACTCCCTTAGGTATAAAGGACACAAACAGAGGAAACACACGGTTTCTCCATGAAGCCACATTTGCCAGGAGGACAGCAGAGACACGAAGTCCATATAGATAATTCTTAAGACTCCTCGTGTGGAAGATGAATTGTAGAGATGTTTAACTTGTATATTATGGACCATCTCAGTCCCTCTATACCATCGCATATTTATTTAAACTCCCTGAACGCAGGACACCTTCACAGATGGAATCCAGATGCAACGCTAGAATTCATTGCTATAAGGCTTTGGGTTTTATCTTGTAGCTTCTACCATGATAAAATTTGAAACAGAAGAGACCAACTGCCAGGGATTGGCCCTAATTTCCCCCTCTTTCCCGTTAATGTAAGATATTAAACAGCTTTATGGGATTTACTGACCTCTCAGACTATTGCAAATCACTTAACCAAGCCATAGCTAGCCACCCAGATACGGAAACCAGGGATTAATAGAGCAAAGGAAAATAGAGAGGCATAGAGTTCACTGGAGAATCTATCACAAAAAGTAGCGGCTCGAGGACACGGCCTGGCAGGTACTTAGCACATCCTTGGGATGTTATCCTAAAGACCCACAATTACCGCTATGCCATCTGGCTGTAGAGCTCTCTGCCACCATAGAGGATATTGGTCCCAGATGTCTGAACAGGACATATGCTGCATTAGGAATGCAACACTTCTATGCATACACTCTGTTCCTGGTAGAAGAAAACCTAAGCTGTTAAGATATGGTAAGAATATATGGTGACTATGTCATGGTTTCCCAAGCAGCATACCAAACATATTAACTACCTGTGCTTCAATTGCTTAAGACTCAATATTTAACTTATTGCACTCCCAAGAGGCTGATTAAATGATCAGCTGTTACCCTCAAATATCCTTCATTCCTCCACATGTGGAGGATAGAGGACAGCTTAATTGTGTGGCAATATATTTATTTTAACGCTGGCAGTTTCTTCTTTGATCATGTTATGATAAAGTCAGTATTTGCTGCAGTAGTGTCTCCTTTTGAAAGGTGGATGACAAGAACCGTCTTAAAAGAAACTCCAAGAAAAATGACACCCCGCCCCGAACATATTAGACTGCAAGTATAATTATAATTCATGAGAGAAGTAGTTAGCAAAGTGACTGGCAACCATTACTGCTACATTATGTAATAGCATTATACAAGTGTCACACACATCAGTGGAACACCCTCTAAATTGCAGGTGATTTTTGTGCACACTGAAAGTTGTATCATGACAAGGTTTAGGTATATTGCAATTTACTACAAAAATAAAATTAAAAAAAAAGGAAAAAGAACTCTAGAAAACATCAGAAAGTAGACCAACAGTGTACTGCTTCTATATCTTCCTCCTTACCTACATCAAGAGTTATTGGGTCCACAGTTTAGTTAAAGGCACCCAGGTTAGACTGAAAGCCACCAAGAAACTAAATAATCAAACTTAACCCATGAATTTTTACTTTCAGCCCATGTCTTTATTACTCAATTCATAAAGACTCACCTTAGTCCATGGATGTGCCTTAATCTGAGGGAATTTGAATTCAGTATAGTTTGGATTCATTTCTCTAATTTGCTCCCTTGTAGGCGTCCCCAGAACCTAGGAGAAAAAAAAATGTTTATAGGTACTTCACGTTTTCAGATTCACATGATAAGCACAGTACAACCTATTACACATGGCAACAATCTAACTGAGGTCAATCTGCACAGCTCTTAATTTAAGGGGGATGAGAACAGAACATTTTACAAAACTTTACTGGCCTCTAGGCTGCAATTCAGTTCATGCTCCAAACCAAGAGTCAAAATTTTAATTCTCTTAGACTTTGTCATGAAATTCATGACTCTCTCAAAGTTAGTAATACTTCAAGAGGAATGAGATTTCACTTTAATTAGAATGTTGGAAGCCAGTACTGCTGAACACCTTCATAGCTGGTATCTCACTGCATATGGCTGATAAAGGATCAGGCCTGTGACACAGACTGCATTTTAATAGCTATTAACAACAGCCCCCTGATGAGATTATTAGAAATGGATGCTTCTCACACACATTCACAAGAAAAAAAGTAGTCTAAAGCTAACCTGAAAGTATCTATAACATACACCTGCATTTTACTGTTATAAATTTGTACTTCTCATTCTCAGAATCTGCATGACATTATTTATGCACATAAACTAGTAGCTGTATCAGAGATAAAACACAGTTGTACATCGCATTGGAGGGGTGAAGAGGTTTTGAGAGGATTCTGGAAATCCTTTCAGGGCATGAGCAGGACAATATGGCATTAGGACTTACTGTTCAGTTAGCATTAGCCTCCCCATTTGATCATGCTACAAATTAAGAACTTCAAAGAAATTTAAAAAAAAAGCCCAGTGTTAGCAGGTTGCATTCAGCTGCTTGGTATTCTTTTGTTCTACGGAGAAGACCAGAGCAGAGGGAAGGGGTTCCTCTAACCCAAGCTCACATTCATCTTGCACATAGCAAGGCCATAGTCTTGTCAGTCTTGCATTGCATCAGACCTCTAGCTATAGAGGGTGTTGTTAACTCATAATCCAGACTGCACTGTCACAATCAGAAAGCAACACGAAACATTTCGCTAGCACTCTACCTTATGATTCAACAAAGAAGTATTTTGCCATATATTCTGGTACTGGTGAACATTTTCATTTGCCAAGTGCCACCGTTCAGCAAATGCATGCAACTAAAAAGTTACCGCCAGATATTACGAAAGAAACTTGCTATCTCGTTCTGTGATTTAAAACATGAGTCTCGTTCTGTGATTTAAAACAAGAACTGCAGAATACACACGCATGCAAACTAGCAACCTAGGAACCTTTTAAATATGCAGCAGGGGGAACAAAAAGGGCAAATGAGGAAATAAACTCCCAGTCTCTCAGACAAGTGTATCTTGGATAACAGAGTTATCCTCTGATGAGTTATACAGAAGGAATGATCACGTTAAGTCCTACCTTCTGAGCACTGCTCGGGATTTTAATCCCAGCCACTCTAAAAACTAAGGGTCACAGTTAAAACTCAGAGATCTTTCCCTGGGCCTAAAAACACCACATTTGTCAGCTAGTAGAAAATGGGGTGTTTCATGGGCTACCCTACATTTCACTATTCTTTTTAGCAGGGGAGGAGAGGGAAGTAGACTACAAATGTGCCCTCTCCGGGCTGGTTTTCCGGCAAGCTGCTCCGGCTGCCATGCTTGGCAGCGGCTCCATGTAGTGAGCACCAAGCAGGGAGCCGGCAGTGTTTTCTGAGCCTCCCACTTCTAAAACACACAGCCGCAAATGATTTTCAGCCCACTTCGGGGCTAAAGCCATTTTTAAAACCTCAGATGTTTTTCGGATTCAATTCACGTCTTGAAAAAATTACAAGCAAGTTGCGTTGCTGTATCACCATTTCTCGTTATGTTCTAAAATTTCCTTGGTATGAACAGTTGCTGTTTAAAAGGAAGCACATCTTCTTTCCCCTCCTCCCCTCCAAAGTTTGGAAGTTCAGAAGGAAAGTTTTCTTCAGTAACTTTCCTAAGAAGGAGCAAGGATTGTGTTTCTCATAGAGCCGGAATTCAGGAAACTGGCTCATTTCCCGAAGCTGCTCCAAACACAGGGAGAGTACCTTTAGTTAAAGGCTACTGAGAAGCCTCAGAGAAAATTCAGCTCAGAAAGGTGAGCAGGGTTACATGGGAGGACCCACAGACAACCCATGGTTCCCAAAACACACTGAAGCTCCGCAGGATGGCAGGGAGCAGATCCCGTGTTGAACCTGGAGCGCCGGGGATGAGGATACGGAGGCAAAGCTCAGGCACGAACCTCGACTCATTCACCTGAAAGGGCCTTTGCTTGGCTGCTGCTGTGCCCCAGGGTGACAAGAAAGGCAAAAACGCGCTGCCAGCAGCAGCAAGACTGGGGAATGGGAACATTTTATGCTCAGATGAGCTCTTCTAGGAAATGAGAGTCATACTTTCAAGTTCTTTTTTTTTTTTTTTTTAATGTTTTGGGTTTTTTTTCTCCTTTGTCTTTTCCTTTCATTAAAGGAAACCAAAAAGGTGTATTCTAATAAGTTGCACAGATTTCAGCACTGTCTCCCAGCTACCAGATGTATAGTCCATCTTCCCTGTTCTCAGACAGCCCCAAACAGGACACCGATCTAACCCTCTAAAGAACAAACATTACTGCTTTTGGTATTTAAAATAATAGTGGAGGGAGTAGAAATATTATAGCATAAGATTATCTATCCAAAATCCCACTTTTCTTGGTAACCCTGAATTAGTGTTTTCCTTGATTTTTGCAGTGCTCTCCAGTTACGTGACATTCTGAGAGGCACTAAATTTGAAAGACTTCTGGGAAGAGGTGGGAATGGAATGGAAGGCACTAGTGTTTCTCACAGATATCAATCTTTTCAAACGGGAAAAACTTCAGATGTGAAAAATGACCTTGCACGTAGCCAGGCCCATTTCAGGGGCAAAGCCTTACACATGTGAAGAAAGGAGCTTTCTGAATTTTCCATACAGGGCAATTTTGTTAACATCACAAAGACCTAAGGCTTGCCTGAAGAATCAGTATAATCAGGCAAAAAGACGCTTTGCAGCCTTCCTAAAAGGTGGCACCACACATGCCAAAGAAACTAAACTCCATAAACCATACCAACCAAACATCATAAATATTGCTTTAAAAAAAACACTTGCCTGCTAAAAAGCTGAGTTGCCAGAAGCAGGCAACAGCACTTAAGGTATCATGAAGGCATAGGAAGGAAGGTATAGGAGAGGGATCGTGTTTGCTAGAAGAAAGGAAAGCTTGACCCTTCAGTCGTATGTGCACTGACACGCATAATAACAGCACAAATTGAAAACTGACCTACATTATCGACTCGAGCATGATTATGTTGTTCTCTCTAGCATGAAAAGCTTATGTTACTGCACTCTGGGTGCTTTCGAATCATGCTGAACGCAAGCAGATTGGGACACAAATGAAGAGGAAAGAGAAGGACATAGGAAGAAGGAACTTTAAAGAATCCAGGAATTGCAGATATTAAAATGAGATGGGAATTTCAGCGAATCTGACAAATTTAAATCAAGATCTGGGAAAAAGTATGGGGTAAGGTGGCAATCTATGAAATTGTGAGAGTCTTGCACGCAGGTGGAAGAGGTCGTAACACTGTAGCAGCCAATGGGTAATAAATCCAGAAACACTGTTTGCTGCATGATTTTTACGTTGTACTTCATTGACTTATGTGTATATTAAGAATAAATTCATTTGAGAACCGTGCGGGTAAACAACTATCATACTGTCACAAAAAAAAAAAAAAAAAAAAAGGGACAAATAATCCCTTTTAAGAAAGATCACATATTTTACTGCTATTTCTGTTTGAAAAATCCAAAGCAGCAGTAAAAAGTGCAATTTATAAAGGGAAGGAGGGAGGGAGAGAGGGAGGGAAGGAGGGAGGGAGGGAAAGAAAAAAATCTGTACTTTTTAGATATGCTTTCTTTCAAAAACACACTCTCGTCAAAATGACAGCCAACTAAATATAGAGACGTCTCCCATCTGCAAATGCAAAGGGAGCTATACACTAGCAAGGAGAAACCCCCTGTGACTGCTGACAGGACTATAACCGTTCTTCAGCTTCTGGTACCACCTGTCAGCCACCGCTGGAAATGGCCAGCTGCATTAGGCAGAGGAAGAGCCAAGATGTGATACGGGATGGGGGGGCACAGGAAAAAAAGCCCTGCCAGAATGGTCCTTTTGGGAGCAAAGGGGGAGGACGTCCTCGCTGGCCCGGGCAGGCATTCAGCAGCCAGTCTCAAAGCAGCACGGCCGCTCTGGGCAGGACGGTCTCCAGTAAGGACAAACATTCCCTCCTCCTGCTGCTTCTCCAAAAGAGACAGCTCCTCTCTCCCCATTAACTACTCTGACTGAATTTATTTTATTTCAGAAACTGAGCCCAAAATAGTACCTTGACATTTGAGTCTGAGCCATATATTATAATTGTAGTCTATACTTAGCATTCGGCTCAGTAAAACTGTCAGAGACCAAAAAGTTACATATGGATAGGATTCCTGATACTACAGAGCTCATGTTTTAACACCTTCCCCCCTGCCTCATTCCTAACCCAGAGAAGTATAGGAAGTTGGGGTTTTTTTGGTACAAAGAATAACCATAATGTTCAGTAAGACCAAAAAACCTCCTCCATCTCCTAGCTTTGCAAGGTAACACATCTCATAATCTAGATTGTAACAGACAGAAAAAATACTTCTGGTAAAGATGATGGAAGGCACATGGCACATGCTCAGGGTTGCTCAGATAATTGTGTTTCATCCTTATAACAATCTTTTCCCCTCCGTTTTCAAGGGATCAGGGGGAAGATAGTGAACAGAGGCTTTCAGAAGGTAAACATTAGCTTAGAAACAAAACCATTGTTTTTCAGAGAGTCTCATTTTGCAACAGGAAAGTAGAAAGTAGGACACCTAAGCACCTCATCTTTTTGATAGCTAGTAAGAACTAGAAATAAAAAGTCCCAACTCTAGATGAGACTTTGAAAAAGCACAGCATATGATTTCTGTGATGGTGTAAGGCCCTCCCTGAGAAACTCCAGGTACAACTGGCTGAAGATGACCTAATAAGACGGCATGAAACCAAGTGCACCAATGGTACTGAAAGCGAATCAAAGCCTGGCAGAAGCCTAACTTGTTCCTCACGCAGCCATGGGCTGAGGGTGCTCAGCACCCAGTGCCCCGAAAGCAGCAGCTGCTCTGGACCGACGTGTCATGGAAAGGCTGTTCCGTACCAATGCAACTTCCTAGGGGATGTCCTCGTGGTCTACACGGCAAGGGACGGCGACATTTAGCAGGGAGGCATTTCGAGGCGTCACCCTCCAGCCTAATACGAAAACTTCATACCCAGATGTGGACCCAGCTGTTGTGTTGTGAACTGAACTCTGAATAATCAAAGCTGAGCATGTAACTGAACAAATCTTGCCTGCAAGACCGTGACTTAAGTCATCTTGAATTAATAGGAACCAGCAGGAGTTTACAAGTTGACCTTTCCTGCAGCATAACCAAGTGCGTTTAAAAGGATGAGAGGTCAGATTCATTGCCAAACTAGTAAATACATTTGAATATATCACTTTTGGGGAGTTTAAAATAGTCGATTTCCCCTGTTCCTATATTTCAGATATATAGTTCTGAGAAAGCTACCTAAAAAGCACGACTCCTAGACAGTCACTTTATAGCAGCAGGTTGCAGGTCAGAATCTGCAGCTCCCACAAATTTTGCTGCTATTTGGCTGATTACATAGCTCTATTTCTCCTACTGCCATCTAACATCAACATAAGTTTGTGCTACAATAAAAAAGCTTTAAATAGTAATATCCTACAGCAGCAAATGGAAGAGGTGGAGACCATCTGTCAATGAATTTTTAAATGAACCCCTTTCTAAATGGGAACTTAAATAACCTACTGTTTTATAACATGTGGTACTGAAGACTTATGTTTCTGGTAATTTTTATGCTGCAGAACAGCTGAGCCTTCAACTGTATTGAGGTTGCAGAGACCAGGCTTCCTCAGGAGTTTGCCATTTTAATACTAGCCTTTCAAATATGAGTGAAATTTAAACATCGTGCTGGATGTAGGGAGAGAATGTTTCATGATGTCTGTATACATTTGAAAAAAAAAAAAAAGAAACCTCAAATATGCTCAATTATTCCTTGATTATAGCTCACTTTTGAAGGATATATAATAGAAAGGACAGGTCACTGTTGACAGTAGGCATAATGGAAAATTTAAGATCTCAGTTTCTACTTTTCCTCATCTTCAAAGGTAAGAAGAAAAATGAACAGACGTTTGGGGTAAACCTACTATCTCCCAACGATTCCCAGTTTGGCAATTAGCTGCAAGTGTGACATTAAAAGGAAAGCATCTCATCACCCAGGTCACACACCTCCTTACAACGCTTTCTTATGGCTTTTAGCCATCTTGCACGTGCTACTCTCATAAACTCTCTGCATTCTCACCATAGGCCTCTGTCAGTGCTTTTATGTAGAGCCAAATCAAAGTTTCAAAACACAAGATTTGAGAGGCAGTTGCATTTAAAAACAACTCACCCATACTGTTTACCTTCCATTTTTTCTTCCAATGGTGGCCCAAGAACCTACGCCATCTCAGCAGTTAGCACAAAGGTAGGAAAATATTTACATATCTGCCCATTCACGCTTGCATTTTCCATCATACTCCCTTTAAGGATTCATCAGCCATCCTGGCTAGTGATTATTACTTCAATGTTTACAACATTTGCTTTTTCAGACTTTCCTGAAATATACTATCTCATTACAGTAGCTTTCCAATCAAAGAGAGATGGATTACTAAATGATGGGAGTTGTTTCTACATTTAAGCTGCCTGCTTCATTTCCATGCATGGGCTACATAACAAATGAAGATGAAAAGCCAGGAACAACACAGGTTTTGATGATCACAGTCCTCCTTTGTACAGTTAGAAGAAATGATTCAGAAACTTGTTTCCAGTGCAGTGAATACCATGACCTCAGCTACAGTTCATGGAAGTTTAAGCCTTTACGCTGGAAACTCTTTTGGCTGTCATGAGACAAAGCACTAGTTTTGCAACACCAGCTATTGGGTGATAAGTCAGTCCAAAATTATCACACATTCATTGTAGTGGCATTTAAAGACTCCTCAGCAGTTACATACCTCTTTTCTAGTTTTTGTAACTCCATGCTGTCAGAGTCAAACCAGCAGTAAGGAAAAAGGCTATGAATTTGCTGATGAGGTGGCTATGGCCTCAGATTTCTACGTGAACTATGAAAGGGCTTACAAGATTATCATTGTGCTATAAATAACCATATTTACCCAAACTCTTTAAATACAGTTTCTCAGGATTGCAGACATTAATCACTTCTCTCTTCACCAGCAAAACAGGGCAACTGCTCATAACAGCTCCCGAAAAAAACCAAGGAGACGACATCTGTGAGCTCCCCCTTTCAAGAGGCAGAACAGGAGTTTTTGAGAACTTCCGAGGGCAAACACCACGGTTCACTGCAAGAATGCTTGCAGAATCAAGCACCCACAAGTGTTTCCAGGGACCATTTCCCACCCCACAGAAAGGGCGCAATGGAAAGCACTGCATCATTCCAAGATGCTTTTCAAAAGGAAAAAACTAATGGCCTATGCGATGACCAGCCCTGCTCCTGGCAGTTACTACTCCTCTTCTCACTACTTCACCAGTGTTTCCTAACGCAAACCAACCCCACTTGAAGTTGCCGAGCTTGAAAGAAGCAGGCCAAAGGCCCCAGGAGGAACCCAAGGAAGGCAGGGCAAACGCAGGTGGCAAGACGTGAAGCCTCCGAACAAAAGAAGTTGGCTGGAGGCCTTCCAGCAGGACAGCCAGTCCTTCCACCCATACAAGCTAGGCTTGAATGGCCGAAGGCTGCAGGAGACCTGGCACAAGACTAGCAAGGCTGGGCCTAGCTCCCATCCCAAGCTTACCCTTCCCAGACACTGAGCAGCCCCACAACCACCATGTGCCACCGGCAGGCGATCTCCATGCGGGAGGAGGCAAATGACTCCCGGCCGGTGTGGAGACAGAGGCTGGCAAGACAAGTTTCACAGCCCTTGCAGGCGACAACAGACATCACCGGGAGTTTCTGTTGCTCTGCTCATACACTCCTGCTTTTGAGGGAGCTTTCTTCCACACACACGGGCACCACAGTAGCAGATAAGCACCTGGTTCAAGTTCTGTTAGCATAGGCCCCTTGCCTCTCACTTAATGTACAATATAGGCGAATTTACCACATCCTTCATTGCAGAAGCTGAACAGGGAGGTGAAGACTAGGGAAAAGACCATTCTACAGCACAGCAGCTAAACTGAAGAGATGCTGGGAAGCCAGAAGCCAGTTTTTAAGTTACAAGTTACTCTTCCGTGTCTCTGAGAGTCACTGAATATTCATAGCTTACCAAATGGAATCAATCAAGATGAGTTGCAACATAAGTGCTATCTAAATGTTATGTATTTTGAAATATTAGGCCTTTCTCACTTTAACAGCAGAATATTTTAGGTAGAAAAAACTTTTTGCCCAACATTTTTAGATCTCAATTCTCCATCTGCAAAATAGGACTGCCATTTTCCACCCTTCATCTCACACAGCTAGAGGTGGGGAAAGGAGGGAAAGCTACATGTGTGATATATCTGGCACAAAAAAATTTAATAACTGTTTTCAAAGCCAAGTAGTAATTGCATGCAACAAAGGAAAAAAGAGATTCTTAAAGAATGAGAATCAGGCTCATTAATAAATATTGGCTCAATATGTAAGCGCTACTTCCAAGCGCATTGAAATTGCAACCCTTTAAGAGAATAAATCACTATACAATTAAAACATGGTATATCATTACACATTATTATACGCAAATAAAGACCACTGGGTTCTCAGAATGCCTGAGAAGTGGTTTCTATCACCGTTTACACGCAACAAGCTCTACGAAGGTGCCTGAACAGCTGCTTTGCTGAGCTTGTAACAATGCACATTTTCATATCCATTCATATCCATTTCATTACCAAGGAGAGATGCAGGGGATCAAAGAAGCATTTAGAATTCCATACCTTGATTATTTCCACCAACTGATCCACACCACTGTCACCTGGAAAAATTGGTTGTCCTAGTAACAGTTCAGCCAATACACAGCCCGCTGACCACACATCTAGAAAGGGGGAAAATAGAGGGGTAACAAGGGATGGTATCAGTAAAATGTATACATCAGTTATTGCCTATAGATAGCATCATTTATAAGCTACTTATTTCATTTCCTTGTGCATAACAAGTAAAAATCAAGACCATCTTTCCTGCCTCCAGTATATTACAAACTGGAAAACACAGATTCCTGTCCCAAAGCAGTGAACAGATGTTTTTGAACCACAAGAAAATGAGAACTGGAAAAAAAAACTTTAAAGATCACAATATATTGACATTAAAATGCAAACTTACATAGGCACTATGTACAGATTACAGACTATGCACAGGCATCGCCTACCAAGGAACCACCTACCAAGGTGTTTTTGCTCTTTTGGTGCAAGCTGAATAGGCTTATTTTTTCATCCATTCATTGAAAGCATTTGTTTGTTAGCAGATGAACCAGTACTGCAAATATTACAAGTATTCTGAAGCTCAAAATTAAGTGGCCTGGGAGACTATACCAAGGCTTAATTTTTATCCTAATTCTGTTGGCAAACATGGCTGGATCATATGTCTGCTAAGTACAGACCAGAGCACAGCTCAACAGCAGCCATACTAGAAGTTACCAACTAACTTTTACATGCGTATCAAAAGCCGCAACTAGTCACTAGCAGCTACTTTTGTATGGGAATAAAAACTTCACCATCTACTATAGAAACTTTCCTGCACATTTTCAAAACATACTTAATGCAAAGGAAGAACATAACGAAGCAGACACCGTATTACATGGCAGCCTGTGAGAATTTGCTGCAAGAGTGCATTGAATACTGAAGTTTAAGTTGCTTGACACACCAAAGGAATTGCATCAAGCTGCAAAGACAACTTTTCCTCCAAAACACAAGTTGATTATAAAGTTTTCTAGAAAGTCATAATTTATTCAATGCAAATCAGAAACCTTACACAAAATTACTCTCAAAAACTCCACAAATAACAGGAGATCTGGAAAACTTACAACACTAATGGCATGAAAGGAGAAAATGAACAAACAGAGCCCCCCTCTTCCCAATTTACTTCAACTCTTGCCTACTCCAATAAGCTAAGTTACCCCCAGGAAACAAAAACTCAAAACCCAGAAAAATTACTTACTGAAGTCCCTTCCAATCCAAGTTATTCCTTGTTATGACAAAAATAATTATTTCCCTGGTGCATTTAAACAATGTCATTGAGAAGCGGAACACACACAATGCGTGTGACAAGAATAGACATGACTGGTCTCTAAACAGTACATAAATTATCACTTTGTCACATCAGGTGGAGACTGGCATAAACATAAAAACAACTTTCAGGAACTTTTCAAATTGGTAATAAAATAATCTGCAAGTCGGAACAGACTTTTTCCCCACTTCTAAATTAAAGAGAGACGGGGGAGATGTGAAGATATTTACTGCAGCTTTCCAAATTATGCGTCTCCAAGGCAAATAGATGCATTTTTACTGTCTCAGAACAAACGTCATATACAAACAAAAGGTGACCATTTACAACATAAACTTGAGCCTACTGCTAGTTGCCAGATGTTATTGCCAGAAAGATAATATAAAAATCACCTTTTTATGTCATCCCATACATACCAGGAGCCTGTCAAAAAATTACTTGGGTTTACAGAAAATTACAGAACAGCTCAAGAAATGGCTTAAGGGATTTCTCCAGAAATATTGAAGAAATGGATTAAGTGTACTAAGGGGTCAGAGTGCCGTAATTTAAAAGCCTACATAAAGGCACCTTAAAAGGTTTTGAAAAAGCTGAGTCCTTTACACCAATTACCCTGAACAACTGATGTCAAAAGTCTATAACCATTATTGACAATTTAGACACTTATTCAGCATTGAAAGAACAACAGCACATGGGAAGGAAAAATTACCTGACGGACCATGTCTACAACTGCAGCTGACATTACAGTGAGCTGACATTTAGGGATCACTTCCTATAAAAATTCCGAAATTATTCAGACAGCAATGCCCCCTCCCCCGCCGGCAGCCCACTCCCGGGTCCTGGTGCGACCGAGCCTCTTGAGCAGGTCACTTAATGCCTTATGAAAAGACCCTTCACCTTCCTTCAGTTCATTTACTAACACTTCACATTTAACCCCCTCTCACATAGATGTGCTGAAATAAAAAAATTCCAGAGACATTCTGGAATCTACACTTTCTTCCAGGAATGTCATTTTATTGACTTCCAAATTAGGCCTCGGGCAGTATTCCCTGCTGCAGGAAGTGAGCAAAGCTCGGAAGCATTCCTGCTCAACACCAGGGATCTCACATCAACTTCAGCAGCTCCGCGCAGGGACAGCCATGGACTGGGGACTACACAGGCAGTAAAGCACGGGAAGACGGGGGAAGCCTCAGCTCTGCTCCGACGTCATGCATTTTTCGAGACTGCCTTTTAACGGGACTAAAATTTGACTCCATGGTAGATGGATATTTTTTTCCCTTTGAATGTGTTCTTTTGAAATTTATGTTTTGAATTCAGAGGGCAATATTTTTTTCTGAGTCCTAAAGTAAATACTGTATTAAATTCTCTATTTAAAGATACGTTACTTCAGAGAAATGCAGTTTTTGATAGCTCCTATCAGACCATTTTTCTGCCTGAGCACATCATCACTGCTCTCAATTACAGTTTAATAACCTTTCAGAGCAAGTTTGCAGCATATCTACCTACTCCCATGGGAGAAAAAACATTTTCAATACCGTTCCTTTCTCACATGTGCTATTTAATTAAAGCAAAATTGGACTTGTCATTCAAATGCTTTAAACTGGTGGATAAACAGGACAAAACAGGAGCTTAACAGAAAGTAAGCATCAAAATAGCGTATTCCCCTTATGCCAATATAGTTGAGTCAATGAGAAATTTAAAGAGAAAAGAATGAGGACTATTTATTGCATGCAGGAGAGAGTGAGTATGGTTCACTCCTTCAGACAGCAATAGGGACAGGAAATGAAACCCCTACTAAAAGCAAACTTTCTGTCCAAGTTATTTCAGAAAGCCTTCACAAATAATAACAGCAGCTAAAGTTGTACCTGTTACAGACTAAAGAGAAAGGAAACATTCTGAGAAACAGCTCTATCGTGTAAACTACCTGTACTTAAGCATACAAAAACTCTTATGTTCGAAAAATCAAGATTTCCATTTCTTAATACAAGTTTCTAGTATTTTATTGTTCTTCATGGCTTTCAGGTAGGCATTAACCTCTCTAGCAATCTCATCTGAATAATTCCTCGGCTTCTGAATGCAATTGCAGCATTACAGAAATAAAAGGAATTTATTTTTGTTCAATAATGAGCATCCAGCATGACAACCTGCAAAATACATTTCCTAGTTTCACTATACAAGTGGTTGACCAGGGTCTCTGACAAAGGCTGGCTGTGACATGGGAGCCTATCCACAAGCCTCATTGCTCCGATGCCCAGCTCCTCCTTCCCAAACCAAGAAGCTAGCTCCCCGCCTTGCCTCATCTCAGAATCAACATACTTCACATTAAGCCCCAGTTTCCCTAAATTGTTATTTGGAGGGCAGGAAGGGAAAAAAAATGTTGAATGTGTTCTCATTTATTTAGGACTACTTTAAAAAAACCCTGAAACTTTCCTTCAGCTGACACTTTATGGAGCACATCCACCTTCGTCCATTTTTTCTTCCTCACCTAGTCCTCTCTACCCCACCATGCCTCATCCCAGGTTCATGGGCTTGCTCCATCTTGTGCTGCTCTGGAAACAGATCTACTGTATAAACAAGCAGGGAAGAAAAAGAATGGAGCGAGAGGAGTAGCCTTGGGAAGTCGTCAAGCCAGCAGCTTTGAGCTGCCAAATGCCAGAGCACAAAATGCTCTTCAGTTGCTGTTTATTTGGAACAGGCCTTGGAACGTTAAACCGAGACCACGGGCACATGCACCCCACCACGGAGAGTTCAGCACCTCCATCGGCACCAGGTTATACGGGACGGAATAAGGTTGAAAACTAAAAATGCTTGGAAAGTCATCAGGAGCACAAGTTAAACAGATACTCCTATTTTTCTGCAACAGAGAGATGAAACTACCATGACGGGTTATGGACTACACCCGCCTCGTGAGGAAACGCTCTTTGGGGCTGCTCAAAGTCCTCTCCCTCTCAGTCTTCCCGTTCACTCGGACAGCAAACACGTAACTCTGTGACCCTTCCTTTTGGCCAGTCCAGCAGCAGCCTGTGACACCACCATGCCCATCAATCTTTCCCTGCCCATGGCTATGAATGTTCCCTCTGGGACCCCCTCCGTTCCCGCCAATGCAGCAGCTTGGCAAACACACTGGGCACCAGAAGGCCCTGCTCACCCGGCGCCACCTCCCGGACCCACCGCGTACCTGAGGGAAAACGCAGGCTCACCCGGCAAGGCTTAACCCCACGCCTGCTTTTGACACAAACCGATACATTCTGGAAGAATCTGGGCAGCAATCCAGTCAGCTACAGCGACAAGCTGGAGGCTTCGGTGGGGCACAAAGGCGGCAGGAGCAAACCTGTGTGCAGCCTCCTGCTGCAAGCGTGCGCGTGGTGGTCACAAGCCAAGGTGGGCCCGGGCTCTTTGAGTCGTGTGGGCACCCCACGGCTCGTGCCAAATCCCTTCAAGCTGTGCTGCAGGCAGCCAAAAGAGCGACTGCACTGGCTTTCTATCCATCTCACAGCTGTGATCACGTAAAAACCCAAAGAGGTCATTTCCCAGGTAGTTATTTTACTAGTCCCGGGCCTGCTGAAGCAGTAGATGCATTTGGATGTTACTCTCTCATATGCATTCATATACACCAATGCAATGCTGCACGCAAACACATATGGCCGCAAGACTGTAAGAAACACAACGCCTGGCTGTGACTTGTTTTTTAATGACAATCCCAAAGGCTCCTGCAAGTCACAAACTTTGATAAAATAAAGCAAGAGCCTAGGAATTAAGAGCTGGAATATACTTCTATTGTAACAGTCCAAACCAATCTCGGAACCAGTTTCAGCTTCTGCCACACCTAAGCCCCTGCCACGTCGCAATGACCCATTTGTGTGCTAAAGGACAAGCTAGATAAAGCCAGGCACACTGAGCCCCTTCTTGGTTATAGCGCTACATCCCATGCCTAGCCACTGAAATGGCCACGAGAAGTCTTGACTCCACCACTAGCCTTGGGCCACCATGGTGTCACTCTGCATTTACATGCACAGCTTTACATGCAAAACCACATAACGGGTTTGAAAAGCAGTTCCTGATCATAAATATATATAATGATAACTACAATGTACTGTGTTACAATCACGATCCTGGCAGTAACTGCAGAAAACAAACAAACAAAAAAATTACTCAAGACATTTTTTGGCTCCATATTCTTCATCTCTTATTTTTAATGTAATTTTAAGATGGCGGATTTAAATAGAAGAGCTAAGATCCTTAAACAGATTTAAGCTCAGCTTTTGTCCCCTACCCTTGCACACAAATGGATCTTTCCATACAGAACAGGGAAAGATCACACAGCCAGAGGAGACTGTTGTACTGCATTTCCTCAGAAAGATGGAACTGGAAAAGGCAGGTGTGTCTACATTAAAAGGGGACAAATAAAACGCAGTGTGAACGTACTGAAGCATTTCCTCGTTTCCTATGCCTTGAGTTATGGATGATCTAATGATAAGTATATTTTCTTTTCTTCATCCATTTTTTGAAGGAAATATATTTGTGCTTGTTAGCTGGAATACAAATCACGTCACTGGGTATACAATAATACTGGTTCAGTTTGGATGATTAAGCTTCTTACGTCAGGGAAACATGCTATTGTTCCTACATGCTATTGCCACTTACCTTGTAAGAGCTAGAGAATAACCTAACTCTTAGGAGTTCGGTTAAGAACAGCACAAAACAAAACCACCCCCTTAGAATTTGCAACATATTACCTAACACTGATAAAACTGCAGAGCAAGTTTGCAGAAACACTTTATTACTTTTCAACTCCCACACACACAGTTTCTGCTAGGAAGGGAAAGCAGAGAGCAAAGGATAGCAAGGAAGGAGTGTGTTTGATAAACTTAAGGAAAGATGGGGGCAGATGGGGGCTTTTTTGCACACGAGAAAGTCTGAACCACAGCTGGTCCTGCTTGGATGGCAAGCAGAAAATGGGGTCGTCTCTTCATAATGGTATTTTTATTACACCTGTTTTAGGGAGAGAGAAATAAGAAAACAAAATGGAAAGGGCAACTTATCAATGTTTCTGGAAAATGCATGAGATTAAAGTCATTACGCACTTGGAGGAAGAGACATTTCACAGGCTTATCTACAAAGCAGTCTCTTTTGGCTCCACTGCAAACGCTCGCTCAGGGGAGCTGCCCTCCGCAGCAAGTGGTCCTCGTGCGCCCAGATAACGCTGCTGCGCCCATCTCCTGGCTGCCAGCTGGCGAGATGACGTGAGCTGCTGCGCCCTGGGCTCGGCCACCTTCCTCCCGCTGACGACCCCCAGCCACTGTGGGGCCTGGCGCTCATGGGAGCGCCAGTGCCATGGATTTAGCTCACATACCTCACCAAGGGCCAGCCCGACCAAAGGAAGGTCTCGGCCTCTGGAGCCGCAGCAGGGTGTGGAAGAGTGAACTGTGAGAGCTAGTGCAAGGGAGAGAACGGGACCTGGAGTTCGGGGAAAGAAAAATAGGCTTGGGGCTGATGTTTAGGGTGGTGGCCAACCATTAATAAGCCCTTATCATTATATTACCATTAGCTTCCTCATATCATTACTGCTATAGTCCTGACTCTTCTTTCATACCATGCAAGATAGGAGAGAGTTGGTATATTATTTACTGGAAAGTAGTAGTAGGAAAGTAGCAAGTATAAAAAAATAATTATCATGAAGGAGTAATTACTGGAAAATAACTATTGGGAAAGGATCAGCAAGAGCAAGTAAGTCTTCAGAACTGAAGAGTCAAAGCAAGTTAACGAGCTAAACACTTGCCAAAACACTGATATGCTTAGCAGTATTTAGGCGAACTGCAACAGGTTACAAATACATTTGCATTCTTCCGAGACTTGATCACGACCTTCAAATCCTTCTAAACACACTCTGAAGCTCACCTAAGCTACTCAGCCCATGAGCAATGTAAAAGTTTACCGCTACAGCGGGGCATGTGAGAGTTAAGTCCCAGGGTCTTATGCAGCAGCCTTCAAAAAGAGCCCTTGGAAACAGCAGAAGTTACAACAAGGCAACTCGCTGCTCTTCATCTGGAGAAGTCTTCTATAGCTCCACAGTATCAAAACCCTGCTATCAGCTGCCTAAACTTCCAGCTTTCCTAATAACTCCATGATGCAGCACATATTAAAAAGATGTCTTGATAATGTTAAAGATTAATGACAAAAGTTAATGGAACAAATAAATATCAAAGAACTACTGTACAGAACATTAACATTTTCAAGAGAGTTTAAAGCAAAGCCTCAGGCCTCATTTTCTTTCCCACTAAAAACACCTACTAAAAGACAAGTAAACAAGTGACAAAATCACGCAAGTCTAAATGACGGCAAATCAAACACCGTGTCAAGAGTTTCCACAGTCCTGCTTCAGAGTTATTTTAAGTCAACAAAATACTTGCTAGTTTGAGTTCTCAGGTCTCCTCTTAACATTAAATAGCAAAATTACCTAGAGAGCCGGAAAAAAATGTTTGAGACCAGATTTCCCCCAGATTAGGAAATGTCCATTGTCCTTCCTAATCTAATTGATATTAAAATCTGAAAAGGTATCAAAATTACAGCCTATAAAATGTGTGTGCTTTACAGCCATCTACAGTAAACTTCTGCTCACAGGGATAGTATCCAAGACCTCTAGAAGCATTTACACTTAACTAAAGCATAAACACACATACAGCAAGTATGCAGTTCAACAAATACACATACATACCTATACTGGAGGTATAATCGGTGGCTCCAAAGATCAACTCTGGTGCCCTGTAGTACCGAGAGCAGATGTACGAGACATTGGGTTCTCCACGAACCAGCTGTTTTGCACTGAAGAAGAAACACAGTAGTATCTTTCAGGAAGGGAAAGTTTTACATATTTCAGTGCAGGCCAATATTAAGCTTTAGTGCCCCTTTCTCACCCGCAGTCCCTAAATGCTTAAAATATTGTGGTTTTTCTAAGCTGATACAAGGCACAGACTTAATGATTTACAGTAAAATTAGTCCAGGCTATCTAAGCAGCTTCCTCAAATTGGACACAGCAATGCCGATTACAATCTAGGGGATAAACAAGGTCGGGTTTCTGCTGGCAGTTTCCTATATAAAGCTTTGATAGGTACAAAGATCTGTTTACACAGAAGAGGACAGAACACAATTCAGTCAGATGCAGTTACCTTTTAAGGTTCAAAAGCCCTGGACAGCCACCAGAACCAGCCTCTCAGTCTTCCCTACAGCTTTTCTACGTAGGAACTACAGTCAACACTTTAGGGTCTTTAACAAGGAGGGGGAAAAATCACCTATTTACGCACTGTTATTTCAGGTTTTAGAATGACACTTCTTCCGTTTCGACACTTTCAAGGCACAGGGGCGGTGGCGGAGGAGACTCCCGAGGCAGCATACGTGACTGTGCACTGCTGGAATAACCCATCTCGCATTCCAGCTCGCTGCAGACAAGCTAATTTAGCAACAGCTGCGCCGGTGACCTCGTGTATAGATGCCCTCCTACCTATTTTAGTCTGTAAAGTTAGAGTACAACCTCAAGACTGAAGTTTATCCCAAAGAAAAAAAAAACTGTTTCCTGCTTATGCATGGATTTCCAGAACCCTTCTATCAGTCATTTCTCTTACACGTAGGTGTGAACTCCATGCATGTCTCACTTCAGCAGATATTGCAAAAAATGTGCTGCTGGAAGCTGGCATGCAGAAGTCCACTCTCCAAGAGCTTCAGTTACAAGCACTGCTTCTGATCCTGAGCTTTTAAAGTATTTGAACTATTAGATGAATTGTACATACAAGTAGACTAAAGGAGCACATTAGTCCCACACGTATTTCACTCTACGTAACCATAGGGTGAAACCCATAGGTATTTCATCATTTGAATTTGACTGCGTTTTTCCCACAGGAGTGGAAATATTTTCCCCCATGTTTTCCTATGCAAAGGTGTATTTGTTTTTCTAAATACGTGAACAAATTGCTGACTAAAATTTTCAGGTCTCTTTCTCTTGATATCCCTTTTCAGCTCTTTATTCATATTAAATCATTTTAAAAGGAAAATAGAAAGTCTCCGTAATTTCCCTTTCAAGACTATAAATGATTAACTCTGCAGGAATATAGAGAGTTTCTTTGCAAAATTCCATCACAGCTCCCTTTAAAGGAAGCAATTTCATCAGTCTCCAGCCCATGGAGATGCACTTACCTTCCAAAGTCACAGAGTTTTAGAACAGCTGTATCAGGGTCCAGCAAGAGGTTCTGTGGTTTTATATCCCGGTGGCAGATTCCAAAGGAATGGATATAGGCTAAACTCCGGAACAGCTGATACATGTACAACTACAACACAAAAATATTGCATAATGTAGCTTTCCCGGGCAAAACAAGAGAAAATAATAATTTATTACAAATCTGTATTAGAAAACAGAAATTAATAAACAGATTTATCTCACAGAAAAGAAAGACATCTCTACTCCGTGTAAAACAGTGAAGCCCTCCATGTCTTCCTCCTTCTTTACCCCCTGTTCTTTGTCACATACCCATACCTGTATATCAAATCAAGTTTTTTGTCTTTCAAAAACAAATACTTTATCCAAAAAAGAAGTGCGAGACCTGTCCAACCTCATCGATAGTCACAGAACAAAATGAACACAAGACTACAGAAAGGTGTTTCCTCTTGCTCTGTAAATCACTATTAAACTAGAAAACAACCACTCAACAGTGCTGCACCTTAATGAATGCAAGGTCCACTCGCAGGTGAGTTTGTTCACAGAGGAACAAGGCTGTAAAAATGGAAGAGATCCCCAACACCAAGAAAACGCCTCCTTCTTCCTCCCAATGAACTGACCTGAAGCTGGAGGAGGCTCGTGCGCACCCTCCTCCCTGTTCGTCCAACCAAACACTGCACCACGCCAGAAAATCGGAGGCCATAAGGAGAGCTCCCCTCGCCTCCTTTTGCGCATACAGAGCACGGCTGCTCTCTTACCCCCTTCCAACTCCCTCAGTTTAGCACCCTTAAAGCACCCAAGCAGCACTACGAGACACTGCGAGTTCTTCAGAAAAATGATGGAAGAACAAGCCACGCTTGCTTCCTTCCCTAGCAATCAGCTGCAGAATGAAAATGGGGCACTCCAGGAAACCTTCATCAGGTGTTTTATTTCCTTTTTATTAACACCATATTAAAAGTTGCCCACAGAATATAGTAATCGCCTAGCCAGTCACTTAAGTGAACCTCTGATTAACTTCATATAAATTTCAAGGCTGACTCCAGGCAGCCCGGTTGCTGTTCTTCTGTGCCCCATGCCCCACTCAAAAACAAATTACAGGCAGGACACATGAAGGTGCCGCTGCAGTACTGTCTCCCTGGTCTGAGGGTCTTCTCCACAGGTCACCTTCACTGCTCTGTGAAGCAGGGTGCAGCTGCTAGATACCGCTGTCAGGCCACATTCACCTTACTTGCTCAACTATCTCTCCATTCTCTGTCTCTCCTTCCCCGCCTTCTTCTGGGACATGGGGAAGGTGTGAGGGTGAAGAAGCCTGAGCAACTCTGCCCTTGAAGGTTTCAGTTGTTGTATTTTTTTCTCAACATGAAAACTCTAAACAAGGATGAGCAAACAAACTCATGCTAACAAAAAGACGACTAGGGGAGCTTCCTTGCCATTCCAGAGCAGCTTCTGTTTTCCAGGAAAAGGAGCCAACTGCCTGGCTAGGTAGCAAGCACAAGTGAACAAAGAGGTATGACCTGACCTTCGGACAGCCGTGAGGCTGGTAAAATGCAAAAGTTTTAGTAACATCAAGGATATAGCATCTCTTTTTAAATATAAGATGAGGAAAAAGGCTTGCCTTGTCAGAAAAGCAACATAAAAAAATCAGCCCCCTGGAAGGGGAAGTTACAAGTATCTAACAGGATGAAAGAACTGAAGCAATGGACAGCCATTAGATAAACAGTACAGGAAAAAAGATTTCTAAATAATTTATGAAATGCTAAGCTGACAAGCAAACTGTGGGTAGCACACAGGCTAAAGCCATGCTGTTCCACCAACAGGCCAAAATGAGCAATCTTGCAGTAGAAATTTTTACCCTTCTTAAAAACTCGCAATATCCTGGATATTGCCAAGGCCACAATTTCCAATGTATGTAGCTATCGTTATGGTATAGTGCTTTGCTATTGGAAAAACTATTTTTGTAGTTTTCATCTTCTTCAAAATGAATAAAAGCTTTCCCTTAAACCTACCCTACTGCCAAGCACTGCATATTTAAAGATGGGTCTGGGGAAATCAATACAAAACAGAAATTTTTGTTGCAAATGTCTGTATATCCTTATTTGGCTAAAGACACAAAATGTCTGCAGAGGAGCTTTTGACAGCTATCAGGTTAACGCCATGTTAACAACATGGTCACTCCCTAGCACGCGGCCTGTGTTCACCGCTATATGTGAAATGGAGCTAGGAGACACAGCTTGACAAACCACGGCTGTGGAAGTTTTAACCACTTTGTAAGAGACAACAGAAGCTGAAAACACTGTAAAGGGAGGCCTGGAGACTACATGTGCAAAAGTCTGACCCCATGTAGCTCTTAGAAAAGGGTGGTAAAGCCAAGTTGCTCCAAGGGCAGGGAAGGAGACAAAGAGGCTTTCACATTCTCGCAGAAGCACATCAACTCCTCTTACTCACATACCAGGGAAGGGGGAAGACACATAAAGGGAACAGTACTCTTTCCAACAGCCTCTTCCAATTCTTGACCTCTGTACAACTCTGCTGTCTTCAGCTCAGGAGGGGGAAGCTGCAAATGTGGCTAGTGGCAGTTCCTATCTCAGCTGCTTTAAAACAAGCCCTCCCACCAACCCCCCTTCCTCCCACCTTCTGGAGATTTTTTAGAAAGTGAGAAAACAGGAGTACTGAAATTTAAGTTCCTCGCCTTTATTCTTCCTCCAGCCTAGCAAATAACCATTCCAACTTTGTTTTTCTTGCCTCAAGGCACAGGAGTTCCTAAGAATTTCAGAAAACTAATTATATGCCTCAAAAAAAGAAGTATCTAGAAAGTCCCTTCCTATAATTTCCTCCATCATCCAACCACATCTATCAGTGACTTACCTTGACATAAATCATAGGGAGTGTCTGTTTGGCCCGACTATAATGTCTGGCAACTCTGTATACTGTTTCAGGAACATAGTCCAGCACCAAGTTGAGGTATACCTCATCTTTCTGGAAGGGAACAAAGGAGAAGGGAAAATATTAGCAGGATAATTTGAAGCAGTAAGCACAACAAAAGCATTCAGAGAACCTGATAGCTTGAGACAGCGGTGGACTTGGTACTGTTGAAAAAGGCACTTTTTTTTTTTAATTTAAATTCTGTGTCCTTAGTGGGACTGTGAACTATTACGAAACTTTTTTTTTTTTCCCTCCCCTTTAAGCTTAACACTTGTGGACAAGTAACTAAGTCAAACTTACATATAAGGTCACATTAATTAGCACACTCTCTTACTTGAAATATTTTCTCATTATAAATACAGACAAGGATATAGCTGCTCTGCTCACTGATTTGATATTCTCATTAGGAGGCACTTCACAATGATACCTTCGGCATTAAGGTATCTATTGACCTGTTGCCTCCTTCCTGGCCAAAACTCTACAAGTGCAAATTTGAAACTCCCAGATTTATTCTCACAACTACACAACAAAACACCCTGCACCTTTTAGAAAGGTTACTTTGATCTTACTGAATTCCCAACTCTTTTAAGAGACTAATAACACGTATTAATCATTAATAGATAGAAACCTAGTGTTAATATTTGTAACTGTTCTGCTTACAAACATTTTGCCATCCAGGTTCACTCAACTTAAAATGTATGAACTTATTCATGGTAAAGAAATACACTATAAATACAAAGATTGAATACGACTTTTAAACGCTGCAATCAGGTGAGAGGTCTGTACGACAGAAACCAAGGAAGTAGTTTTCTAATAGTGTACTTGGCTCCCCCTTCCCATTTGCTAAAATAATCTGTAACACAGAGGAATTAAGTGATACAGTGCTATAATCATAGTGCCTAACCACGGACCTGATAATTTTCAGCAGTAAAACAGGTCTTAAAAAAGACTTCTGATATTTTAATGTATTCTTCAGTGCTAAGTGTCAGAACTGCAAATACTTTTAATTATAGTCCCCCAAAATATTAATTATACTAACTTGAAAGCTTATTTTTGAAAGTTAGAAGAATTAAACAGAAATAATCTCTTCTGTACTTGCTGTATTAAAACCTACATCTTGCTGACCAGGAAGATGATATGCAGAGACTTTGTATGGGTGAAAGTCGTACAGAACTCCCAAATCTTCAGCGAAGTCTCCTGTTTGCAGCTCTGCTGACTATGTACCTTAATACCTCTCCACTTGAACACAAATCTCATGGAGCTGCAGTGATTTAATAATAATATCACTGCATCTAATTTGCCAGCTAGAGCACAGTCTGAGGTGTTGCTCTCATCGCCTTCTCTATTTTTCAAACTGTCTCTGCACCATCTGAGCAAACAGCACTCACTTCCAAAGCATAAAGGATTAACACACACACACACACCCCTCATATATGCAACACGTAAAGAACCTCTGTTTTTTTATGTTGTTGACTCGGAAGTTCAAGATTTATATTCACCACTATTGCACTTTCTGCACATTTTAACAGCTCTTGCCAACACCTTCCAGTAGGCCGAGTCACCTTAAAATCTGCTGTGTGCATCAAGCACCGAAGGCCGATTTTGGAACATAGACCTAAAGACTAACAGCTCCAGCTAGTCCTACTGGTAGACCCAAAACTGGGCAACAAAATTGCGAAAGCCCATGACAAGGTTGCAAGGAGGCTTCGGGAAATAAGTGAGCAAAGACAAACAGTACCAGCACATCAAAATGCTACAGAATGGCAGGAATGTGCATGCATACATGTGTATAACTGTCTGCTATATATATGTACCACCTTCACTTCTCCAGCAACAGAAGCTCTTGTCCCTCTGACTCTTGCAGTAAGACAAATAAAAATCCACCACTACCTCTATTTAGCTCGGACATCTTTATACATTATAATCAATACCATGAAAAACACATCCCAAAAACTCAAAGTTAATTTATGCCTGATAAGACAACCTGCATACCAAGACAGGAAACATATTCCCGTGAATGGAAACTCCATTTGATTCAGCATAAACACAGTCTGAGCAATATGCTGCTGTATTGGGCGCTCACCTCTTGGGGAATTAGAGTCCTACTGGCAGCAGGAGGAAGTGCAAAATACTCTATTATGGAGACTGATTACTTTCATTCAGAGGATGGACGTTCCAAGAGATAAGGAAGATTTACATGAGAGATTAGAGAAACAGCAAAAAAACAAGTGGAAATGGAATTCCTTTGCTTTCATTATTCTCCTACAGTACAAGCAAAAGGAGACATGTAAAACACACAACCATTAAATCCTTTCTGCACTACACAACAGGGACATTTGGGAATTTAAGGACTCCATTTAGTTCATACCATTACATATGATTTACTTTCCCCTCCTCCACTTTGATTTCTATTCTCTGTTCTACTGGAACTAGAGTTGATTCAGTGGCATAAAACAACATGGACACGAGACAACTGAAGCACCTGAACGGAGATGGAGCTCGGTGTCCACCAACACTTCAGTGTTTCAGTGCTCTCTGAACTACCCCCACCATATGACGTTGCTCCTATTAAGTGCAGGAGTGCCTAGGACCACCTAGGTCCAGACAAGGAACATGAACACCTCTCCCCAGCCAGCTCTACCTGCCATCCAACGCAAACCCTGTAAACACTCGGACTGCTGCTTTTCAGAGCCCTCACCCTTCCCTCACCCACCCCTGATCCCGATGCAGAATAACATCTGCAAGTTACCTGGATTCCCCTCGCCGAGCCTCAGCAGGAGCTAGTCCCGTCTGACAAGCTCCAAGGATGACGCGGCCTGGTTTATCCACCTCGTGCAGTCTTCCCCAACGCGTGCTTTCCCAGTGACCCACATGTGTTACACCAGGGAGCGGGGATGGCTCAAAGAGCTTTGCCAAATGAGGTCAACTGCTTGAGGATCAGCAAAGAACATCAAGACTTATCTTTCCATTACACGAAGCCTTTTTCAACCCTCATATATTCCACATGTGACTTATTTCCACAGTACTATTTCAAAATCTCTGGCCTGGGAACCAACCAAGGTAACCTATCAGTCAGGACCGAGTCGAAACAGTTTTACACATATCCAACAGGGTCCACAGGAAACTGTATCATATAAATGGATGAAAGCGAACACAAGATAGGATCAAATAATGCACCCTTCCTTACAGGCACTGGGATTGAACAAATTATTAGTCTTCTCCTCAGGTCAAACATGCACCAGGCCAAAGTGCATCCATTTTCCGATACTTGCCACTCAAGCTACGCCCATCTGCTCTTTAGGATTAAAAGGCAGAATGCAGGAAGCCAGTCAGAACTGAAACACAGGACCAGTGTATTGCATGAACACTTTGATATGACAGTGCAACAACTCGTTCACCTGCAATTGCCTCAAGCATTAGAAGCTGCTTTCTGTCAGCTGTTGGATAAAACCTCAGTCGACAGGATCCGCTTCCAAACATCCAAATAAGCCACAGCAAAACAATAGGGGCCTTGCTATTGAACCAGTTGATATTACTTGGGAACTGCTCAGGAACAACCAATTCAGGCACCATCTTCAATTTTTAGTAGCTTAACTTTTTTTAAAATCTTTTTTATTGTTTAGTATCAGGAATCAGAGACTAAATGGGCTGCAAAAGGTTCTGAGACTAGGGACTAGTGGTTAGCATTTGGGAAAGGATGATCAGCTTGCTTATTGCAGTTTTCTTGTTCCTGCCAGGCCAGTAACAGCGTGGTGATAGCTGTGAGTTTTGCAATTAAAAAATAATCATAATAATAATTTAAAGAGCACTTCAAACCCAGATCATATCAGTCTGAGATAAACTCCAGGTGAGCAAGTCTTTGAGCACCACTAAGAGGGGATTAACTACGCAAGAGCTCCTTAAAACAACTTAAAACAAATTTGTGAGTATAGAAGAGCACCCTGAAGTTACTCACTTCATCATTCTATCCAAGCCAACAGAACTCAGATTAGCGATCATCTAGAATGAAGGAATATTCATGCCTAAAGAATGCACTTCCCTTATACAAATTATCTAACAGCATCATCAGTATTGGGGCTATATAAGGTAAATGGTCATGTAATTACTGACAAGCTACTAGGTATGTCACGCTTGTTTCAAAGAGTACTAAAGATTTAAGGTGGATTTGGAAAACCAATCCCATTGAATCCCAACCCACTAACGCGTTTCACCCAGATTATGCCTTCTTTCAAGGGGTGATGCTTAAATACCCCAGTGATGGCATTCAGGACCACGTGCCTCTCACACTCTTTAGCCATCTAGCTTTGGACAACAAGCAAGTTCAAAGTCATCATCTTTGCTCTAGAATCCAGGAAGTGGTTGTTTCGCTTTCTGTCCTTGGAGCTGCTTCTGGCATGTATTTTGTACCTTCTTATCAAGCACAGAAAGAGACCCACCTTCCTTCTCTTATCTTGAAGGCTGGCACAGTACTTTAAAGGTACAAAGACTTTGGCACTGCTTTCAAGACAAAGCAAGAATTTGCAGCCTTCCTACTCAAACTACTTAGTAGCCATGATATCCTAGAAAAATTGGAAAATGCAAAAACAAGCAAACAAAAGAAAACAGGCTGCAGCTGACCTTATTTGTATGAAGGAATGGTGACATCCAGTGGCCACACGTGCATGTATTTGTTTGCATTTTACAGCCACAGCTGTTTAAAAACAGAAGTGTGGCTACCAGCAAAAGAAAGGGTGGGTAAGGGATGTACCACTACAATTTTGCACAAATCTTATGGGTGTAAGAGAAGTCAAAAAATCAACTTTAAATGACATTTAAGCATTCAGGAAAGATAGGAATATATGTTATTAGTACTGCAAATATTGGGTAGAAGTTTTTTCCCCGCAATGCCCCAGGGCTGAATTCCAGAAATTCCAGATATCCCAAGTCTTCTTTTCCTCCGCTTACCAGACAAAAGTTCCCAAACTGTTGTGTAGCACTCACTGCTCTTCAACGAGCTGCAGTACAAAGTGCCCACGGGTTCAGCTGGGAGGGCACCGTGAGGAGAGGAGTCTGGC